TTGCTGCTGCTATTAGGCACTGTGGCAGGATTCTTTTTTGGGTAAGTTGATTTAGCACTTCCTATAGCTCTTACTTAGGGCTCCCCTTTTCACTTATTGAGGGGGGGGGTTGTTCTATTTTACCTGAAGGTGAACCCATCCCTTTCTTGAATCATTTTTAAACACACATTTCTAACTTATCTTTCTTTGTTGCACAGATGTCGTTACTGCCAGCTGAGGAACAAGGTGGCAGGAGCTGTGATACAAATGGAGGAGGGAGTAGAGTCTGCAGATGTATCCACCACCACAAAAGTGTATAGCAGATCTGGAGAAAAAGAAGAAGAAGCCGTCATGAAGGCAAGAAAACTGGACTTTCAATCAGAAAAATATCTGAAAGGAGTCCAGAAGACGTCCAGGGCCGGGTCGGAGGGTAGGCAGAAAAGGCAGCCTCCTTGGACTCTTCCAAAGGAACGAGGCAAAAAAACCTCTGCAATTTATGTTGTAGAGTTATCTACCTGCAGACATATAGATGCCCGACCATGAAGAAGAGTCCATCATTAAGCAAGATCCATCGCTCTATATTTCCATCAACAAAATAAAATCCATTATAACGTTCTAAAATTCTGCCTTTTGTTTGTTTATATCAATGTAAATAACAGGTGAAGAGCATTCCATGAGGGGCTCATAATTTAAGATCTGACATTCAGAATTCATAACTTCTACAGAGAAATACAGGGGCCACAATATTACTGTATGTCTACCCGTAGACATATACACTAAATTCAGGCGTTCCGTGAATTTTCCTTGCAACTAAATATTCCACAGTCGATTGTTAGTGGTATTATAATAAAGTGGAAGCAACTGGGAACAACAGCAACTCAGCCACGAAGTGGTAGGCCACGTAAAATGACAGAGTGGGGTCAGCCCATGCTGAAGTTCCCAGTGCTCAGAAGTCGCCAACTGTCTGCAGAGTCAATAGCTACAGACCTCCAGACTTTGTGTGGCCTTCAGATTGGTACAACAACAGTGCGTAGAGAGTTTCATGGAATGGGTTTCCATGGCCGACCAGCTGCATCCAAGCCTTAGATCACCAAGTGCAATGCAAAGCGTCCGATGCCGTGGTGTAAAGCACACCGCCACTGGACTCTAGAGAAGTGGAGATGTGTTCTCCGGAGTGACGAATGACGCTTCTCTGTCCGGCAATCCGATGGACGTGTCTGGGTTTGGCGGTTGCCAGGAGAACGGTACTTGCCTGACTGCATTGTGCCAAGTGTAAAGTTTGGTGGAGGGGGGATTATGGTGTGGAGGTTATTTTTTTTCAGGGGTTTGGCTTGGCCCCTTAGTTCCAGTGAAGGGAACTCTTAAGGCATCAGCATACCAAGACATTTTGGAAATTTTCATGCTCCCAACTTTGTGGGAACAGTTTGGGGATGGCCCCTTCCTGTTCCAACATGACTGCGCACCAGTGCACAAAGCAAGGTCCATAAAGACATGGATGAGCGAGTTTTGGGGGGGGGCACTTGACTGGCCTGCACAGAGCCCTGACCTCAACCCGATAGAACACCTTTGGGATGAATTAGAGCGGAGACTGCGAGGCCGGCCTTCTCGTCCAACGTCAGTACCTGACCTCACAAGTGCGCTTCTGGAAGAATGGTCAAACATTCCCATAGACACACTGCTAAACCTTGTACGCCTTCCCAGAAGAGTTGAAGCTGTTATAGCGGCAAAGGGCCAACTCAATATTGAACCCTACAGACTAAGACTGAGATGCCATTAAAGTTTATGTGCGTGTAAAGGCCGGCGTCCCAATACTTTTGCCAATATAGTATACTGTAGATGTCAGGTGATAAAGACGTGCCCAACACTGAGAAAGATCCACCGCTAAATATTTCCAGAAACAAAAGAAAAAATGTATAAAACCCTAAAATTCTAGATTTTGTTTGTTTGTTTATAACAGTGTAAATAACAGGTGAAGAGCGTTCCATATTTTAGGGTCTGCCATACATAATATCATACACAGAGAAATACATAGGCCGTCATGTTTCTTCTGAGTATCTATCCACAACAAGCATGCAGAGTGAAGTCAGAGCTCCTGATCTGCATACTTGTTCCAGGTCAGTGACAGGAGAGAAACCAGTGGATTAACATGATGGCCAAAGGATCAGGAATTTTAAAAGAAAATGCAAGCAATGGCAGCCTCCATACTATTTTTAAGTGGTGTGACCAATTTGAACATTGTTTGTGATATTCACACAGCAAGGGGGGAACAACACGCCAGACATGATCAGCATCTGTCACTATTGGTAGTGTGTACACCTTAGGTCCTATGCGTACTCCTATCACTGCTCCCCCATCGCTCAGATGCCCAACACCACCTTTGCCATTGCCATCAGTACCTAGGATCGCTTCTCGGCCTTTTGGCTAAGATCAAGTGTAGTATCTGTTCTTATCAGTGGCAGGAGGGGAAAGGAGCCGCTGTACTGTCCTTTGGCTAGTATGGTTGGTCTCTGAGTACCCTGCCTGGTAACGGGAGGAATGGGGAGGAAACCGAATTAGCGGCCACTCACGTATAGAGTGGGGGTCGGGAGTACTTCTCGGCGCTGGGTTCTGGCAGGGCCCAGTACCTCCTGATTTGGACGGTCTACCTTGTCTGGCCATGTGCTGGGAAGGCACGAAGCCTGTGGTACAGTGCCCCCTGAGAGTGGCGTCTCAGGGTGTGCCGGAAAATCACTTGGGTTTGGGACCCCACTTGATTCACCAGCACTAGGTCACTGCACTCATATTCTTCTGCACCACGCCTTTTAGGAAGACCTTCTGGCTAGCCTGGGGCAATTGTTATATCTTGGCCGGACGGCCTGCCAGGTTTGTGCACCGGCACTTATTTATTTAAGCACTATTTTCAATGCACGATTGAGCACCTTTTTTGACTTCACAGAAGACGGAGGGTGCAGGTACCTTCGGAGCCTGTTCCTGAAGAGGTTCTGAGACCTCAAGGGAGATACACAAGGGCCCCCTGCCTCCTCCCACTCGGGGGTCTCCCTTCGGAGGAACCTCCACCTAGTACTCGGGGATCTGTTTCTGCAGGTCCTAGAGGATCGGGGTCTGCCGGCCTTCGGGTAGGTGGACCTAGGTGGAGTCGTTCTTGTCCCTGTCAGGAACCTTGCACCCCGGGGGATCAGGAAATAGTGACCCTTCTCATCAGAGAGGACAAATAGCACCCTCATGCACTTTTTTGTTGTGTGTAGTGATTTCACTATTCACTTTTTTTGTTCACAGGTGTATTGTTTTCGATGCACGCTCCACGGGCTAAAAAAAAATAATTAGTACTTAGGATTGTAAACACTAAATGCCATGCCTCTTCTCCACCCCTACCCCCATAATACAGCTCTGGGCTTGGCAATTGGCTGCTCGGGCCCCAAATACTACAATCTGGGGAATCAGGTGACGTCTCACATGCTTCCGCATACCCATAAGTACAATGGGCAGTGTGGAAGCAGTGGTAAAGGTACATATTAGCACAGTGTTCACAACATTGGGGAATTTTTTTAGATGTGACAGGTTTCCTCTTTGAAGCTGTTTACAATCACGTTGAAAATAATAAATAAAAAGTAATGAAAGGGTTGAGGTATCTTATAGAGAAAATCTTGATTCTGCATTCTTCCGGTGCTCACATGACCAAAATCTAGGACGTCGGTCACATGATCTCTGCTGAAACAGAAGGAACAACTCTGATTCCCGTTCACCAGACATCACTTAAAGATGTAGCTGAGGACAATAATTGTACAACGTCCTCCCTCACAGCCGCACACAATGGCGGCATTGTTACACAATCCTCAAACCATTGAAGTATGTAGTACCCATGTCCATGCATGCTCTTGTAGCCCCCAGCCATGAGAGAAGCCAGTTAAAGGGAAGCAAAGGTCAGCAGCTAGTTTGGGCTGGACACTAGACTAGACTATCCCATGAATCAGAACACCATTTGAGAGAAGCTTCAGACCGAAGTTACAGTTTTCTGTCTTCAGAACCATGCACAGATTTCATGACAAACAATAAAGCAGGTTCAGCTCAATCATTGATTGAGGAACAGGACTTAGGCTCACCACACGCCAGGGGTGGGCAACTGCGGCCCTCCAGCTGTGCTTTAAGTACAAATCCCTTCATGCCTCTGCCAATGGGAGTCATGCCCGTGGGTGTCAGAGTCTTGCATTGCCTCATGGGGCTTGCAGTTCTACAACAGCTCACCCCCTCCCACACACTTTACAATCTGATTGTACAATCTCCTTATCATCTACTAAAACTTATAAGGGCCTCCCTGATCGGATACAAATTGATTGCACAGTTTAGGTATATCCTCATATTAAATTTTTGGTAAATCTTTAGTTGATTGCACAAAGATTGCACAGATTGTAATGTGTATGGTGACCCTTAAGGTGCCCACACACCTTACAATGGATGAAGTAATCTCCACCTGGGCCAATCTGTTGCACTTTTTTCAATCTGACCACAGATAATCTGCAGATAAATTGTAAGGTGTGTGGGCACCTTTAGGTGCAGATCAATGTGTATTTTTCTGTACTTGGAGGGTCTATAAATGGGTAAAACATGAGAACATAGTATTTAGCAGTTATAATCACATTTGCTTCTACAAATAATAGTGTTCAGAACTTTTATTTTACCCTGACATACACTTTTATAATACAATGGAATTCCAAATGTCTGCTGACCCCTCCACCACGCCCTAGACCATCCAGGGTGTAGGGTGTCCCCCCTCGCCTGAAGTGAACCTACATCTGGAGTTCCTCTAGTCTACAATCATATACACATCTATAGAATAACTCCGCTCCCAAATCACTCTTCACAAGGCGTGGTTCATCCCAGCAGTGGGCGTGACCTCCTAAATGTACTGCCTGTTTGTAGGCGTGGTTTCCGGGCTCCAGTGAAGTCCCAGGTTTGTGGGCGGTCACGTCTTGTTAATGAGCTCCGCCCACTGGCTCAAAGTAGCTCTAAACTGGGCTGGCTGGGGTGAGAAGAAGTCGGCGTGCTGGTCGCGATGTACTTCATGGTGCGCAGCCTGATCCCAGCACGGAGAGCCCTGCAGCCGCTACCGTGTCTGCGCTACAGCTCTGGTGAGTGATATCTGGAGGGGGCCACGTCGGGATGGTGGGGGGAGGGGATGCAAACTTTATTGACCGAGCAAGCAGCGGCATGCCATCGGAGCTGACTTGTCCGGTCCCTTCTCTACTGACGTGCTGCCAAAGTCTCATCCGGATTCTGCGAGCCCAGCACCCCGGATTGAGACGTGTCTCTTTTAGTTTTTGGTTGAGACGATCTGCTCGGCGTTAACGAACGATATTCACGAAAGCTGCAAACTCGCCTGAATGAATGCAATGTGAATGGATGCTGGTAGGACCTGCTGCATCCAAAGAAAATGCCAAGCTATCAAATGTAGGGTGGCAGGCATGGGGCGTGCGGCAGGAGGGCAGGCATGGGGCGTGCAGCAGGGTGCATGCCATCGGAGCTGACTTGTCCGGTCCCTTCTCTACTGACGTGCTGCCAAAGTCTCATCCGGATTCTGCGAGCCCAGCACCCCGGATTGAGACGTGTCTCTTTTAGTTTTTGGTTGAGACGATCTGCTCGGCGTTAACGAACGATATTCACGAAAGCTGCAAACTCGCCTGAATGAATGCAATGTGAATGGATGCTGGTAGGACCTGCTGCATCCAAAGAAAATGCCAAGCTATCAAATGTAGGGTGGCAGGCATGGGGCGTGCGGCAGGAGGGCAGGCATGGGGCGTGCGGCAGGGTTGTAGGCATTGGACAAGTGGCAGGCATGGGGCAAGCGTTGCGGTGGTAGCCTTACAATGGTGGTCCATGCTACACCATTACGAATGAGGGAGAATAGGCAACTGCTTTCATATGCGTCTAAACGCCCCATCAGGAAGCAACAGCCACGAACTCCATCTCTGGACGCAGGGCTTGGGGCTGCCGTCCATGCTATGCTATTATGAATGAGGGCTGGGGTGTAAATTAGTGATGTTGACTAACGCTGTTGCTTGCAGTCCAGCTCGCCTGTTTGAACGCAATGTGAACTGATATCAGTAGGACCTGCTGCATCCAAAGAAATGCAAAATTACTCAAATGCAGCCGCAGAACGGCCATCCATGCTACACAATCCTGACTCAGGGCGGACAGGTAACTGCGTTCATCAGGCATTGACTCTGACAATGTACAAGTGTGGCTGATGACTGCAGCTGTTTGCGCACATTGTGTGCACCCCGCCAGCAACAGAGGGTGTTGTAAATTAATTCACCTTTTCATTGTTTTGTTGAACTAACCCTTAAAACTTTTTCTCATGCAATAAACTCTAACAGATGAGATGGGATTAGAGGTGTCCTTGGAGCTGAGGCCTCATTTGGGCCAGGTTCACACCATGTTCTGGGCCAGATCTGGAACGCAGTGCATTGCGTCTTGCTGTGTATTTACCATGATTTCTGTCACAGGATTTTTGCTTGAAGGTGCGTTTCCATGCGTTCCAGTGCATTCCAGACCAGAGAATATTAGACCAGCAGTATTTTTTGTTTGCTCGCAGAACGGACTGCGCTTGTGTGAACAGGGCCCAAAAATACTATAAGGATACATTGGGATGCTTTTTTATTTGGCCCGGGCACAAACTGTTCTGGTCTGGACATGGTCCGGACATGATGTGAAGAAGCCTGACACCGGCATTGACAACCCGGCAATTATTTGTGTTTATAGCACATTTCCAAATGCTCATAATTGATATAATTCATGTGCTGTGCGTTTTAGGTGTTCAGAGAGTTGTGCATCCAGGGACAGAGCGGATACTCTGAACACTCCTTTTAATGCATGTACATGGAGATGCAGGAGAACTTGATCTGGAAGGAATAAACCTTTATACTTCCCAGGTAGTTTCTTCAGCATTTAGATGAAACAGATGCAGGTGGCCAGTGTCAGTGTAACTTTAAAGAACAACTCCGGGAATTTGAAAAAGTACCCTTGAAGTGGGGCTCCCCCCTCCCTACAAGGGCTGAAGATGGCTATACACTGCTCTGTATTTTCCATTCAACCTGCGGGCTGATTGCAGAAGGGCAGGTTCCTCCATCAACACTATGAGCCTGTTGATCATTTATTTGAGTCCGCTAGACAAAACGAGCACTTAATGTTTGCACTTTGGCATTGCATAAATGCACACCGAAGTGCACCTTCATGCAATGTGTTTAAAATGTGTAATGCGTTTGCGGTGCCATTACTTGTTAATGAAACCCCAGGCGCGGCTAGGATAACGCATGGTTTCCACCCCACGCATGGACATGTGTCAAACATGCGAGGGAAAACACGGCACGCTCGCAGTTGAAAATGCTGCATGAGCTACTTTCCTGCGCTTGTCCCGCGCGTAAGCAACCCATTGAATGGGCTCACACGCGGGAAGAACGTGCGTTCACACTACATGAAGTTTGAACAAGGCCTAAAAGTTCTTGAGTCGAGTGCCTTGCAGGGACTTGTAGTGCCACAGCCGGATGTTGGGGTGAAAGTTGCACCAAGCTGCTAGTGTGTTAGAATACGTTTCAGGGATGCTCTGTGCTTCTCCTTGCAGCACGATAATGAGCATGGCCGCTGCTCTGGTAAAAATGGGATTAACTGGCCCCAAGTGACACGTTATCAGCTGTGACCACTCACCCTCTGCAGGGACACACCCCCCTGCAGGGTCATCCTGCCCTCAGGAGGCTCTGTTGTGGTAGTTCCACGTATTCTGCTCATTCAATACATCATGTGTGTGTTCTACCCACACACAGCAAGCCATTCATTAGGAGAGGGCCCCGGGCTGCACGTTCATTATGGGTAATTTAGTTGCAGCTGATTGGGCCAAGCCTCTCACTCCAATTGAGTGAGAAAAGTGAGACCCGCCGTGTATATGAACATCAGAGAAGGGCCGCAGGTTTAATACGGTACGTACTGACTATTTAAAAGGGTCAGTCTACCCGAAAGAGATGTTTTGGTTTTATAATACGGGTACTGCCAGTCACCACAGCTGTGCCCAGTTAACACCACAAGGCGGGAGTGATGTTCGGTGGGTTTTGTAAAAATGCGGACATGTCTCACCGCAGTGCAGCCCACTATGCCGGAATGGAGTGTACACTTTGTCCACTCCAAATAAAGTTTAAAAAAAGAAAACGGATTACATGCTAGCCAGCCCACTAGAATGGAGCATTTCTGTGGACGGACTTATGTGAATGAGCCCACAGTCTGACTGTACAATCTCCTGGAGCCCCTGTTCACACGGGCGTACCATGAACGTGCATGGCGTTCACACGTCTTCATGCGCAGGCGGGCTTTTTTCCCCCCACACTTTGCTCATTGATTTCAGTGGGTGCCACGCGTGCAACAATCATGGCGAAGTAGCTCGTGCAGCTTTTTCAGCTGAGCGTCTCATGTTTTTTGGGGGCTGGGAAAGCTGATAATTGATTGGTGCACAGCACAATGGCGTAGTGGTTAGCGCTTCTGTCTTGCAGCATTGGGTGTCCCTGGTTTAAATCCCGGTCAGGACACTACGTGCATGGAGTTTGCATGTGTTCCTGTGCTTGTGTGGGTTTCCTCCTGGAAGGTTAATTGGCTCCTTATAAATTGGCCCTGAATGCATGCGCCATAAGGACCTTAGATTGTAAGCTACTTGAGGGCAGGGACTAATGTTTGTGTAAATTGTCGCCATTGTATCCTGTAATAAATAATGTTCGGTGGACAGGAAGTAACGAGGGGCATTTGATTTTCTGTATTTGCAGAAAATGTATCTATAATGAAAAAAGAAAACTGATGCAGCTGCCACATCGGACAAGCTGCTATGTAAACACACAAATACAAAACGTTCACAAGCTGCTATGTGTGACGTTTTTGTGCCCGGGATCCTATGGGTACACTGTCAGCCAGTATTGGCGGCCATGCTGTGTGTGTATATATATTGCATGGAATGTCTCCTGAATAGCAGTTTGGTATGTATACTTTGTGTATGTTGTGTCTTTTGTGTGCCCACTTCCCAAATTCTTCTGTCCTCACTTTCTCCTCCTCCCATACATACAGCAAGACGCACCCATCCCCCTCACCTCCTTCCGCTGTTAGCTGTGGCCTCATTGATGAGGGGGGGACTAACCCCCCTCCTCTGAAATCTCCGACCTGGCAAGCAAAATGTATTTTTTAATTTTTTTACTCTTTGTTATACACTTTAAACCTAAAAATATAACGGTTTTTTTTTTCTTCCTATAAATGACTTGTATCCCTTGCTATTGTTGGCACGCTTTGTAACTGCTAACATCCCGGATGTCTGGCTAATTCCTTTCATGTGTCTATTTTTTCACCGATCGCGCTGTGGGTGCCATTATTTTCTAATGGCACCCTTGTCGCGCCGGGCGGATCACGCGGTTTCCTGCTGCTAAAGCAGTCGCGTGTCACAAAAAGGTACATGTGCCTTTTTTTTTTTTTTCTTATTGCCACGCGGATGTCACCCCATTGAAAATCAGTGGGGCCGCAATCACGGCCTGCATTGTGCAGGAACGTGCGATCCCGTTATGTGGTGGTGCATTGACGTTAATGGCACCACAGCCTCGCCCGCAGTGCGATTAGACTAGTGGCAAAACATTGCCTGCGTTTTGCTTCACTGTAAATGCAAAAAATAGAGTGCAGCATTTTTTGCGTTTGCAGTGGACCGGGACACAGGCAATGTTTTGCCACTCGTCCGATCACACTGCGGGCGTGACTGGTGCCATTGACTTCAATGCACCTCCACACCCCCTCCCACGCCAGAACAAAGGGTGACGTTTTTTTGAGCGATTGCTGTGCGTTCCAGCAGCTGCCGCTCTGGAAAGCACTGCAATTGATATGAATGGGCCCTTATAAACACCAGACAAATATACAATTAAGTTCATCCTTAATACGAAGGTGCCAGCCGTGTAGGTAATTGAATTCTTACTTGGGATCCGTCTCTTGCTGTCTTTGTACAGCAGAGCTCAGACTTGGGGGAGAAGCGGCACAGATCAATCGGTTCTGCTGCAGTGCAGGGAGCATACAGATGGGGAGAGCAGAGAGAGAAATGTGAACTCATCACTGTGCTGCTTCTCTTTTCACTGCCCAGTCACAGGCTGGGGGATGGGACATGACCTGTAAGTGTTACATGCCCTGCGTCGGGGATAAATCAGGTCTGCACTTTTGCCAGACAGGGCTGTCCTATGTGGCAGTGCTGTAAAAATCTCAGGAGTGGATGGACAGATGCAAATTCTTACAGGTAAACCATAACCCTAGCACTGCAATAACTACTCGGGTGGGGCATTGAAAGCCTCAAAGTAAATCTGTCCTTGGAAAAGCATGGATGCGCCACTTCTGACTTGCTTCTGAAAATGCGAGTTGCCTGGCTGTTGTGCTGACCCTCTTTGCAGAAGTATGCAGATCAGGAAAGTTGGAGTTCTTTATCTGCACGCTTGTTCTGGGTTAATCCGGGCAGCCAGCATTTGCAGAATGAGAAGCCATCAATGGCCTCCTAAATGTATTGCCCCCCCCAGAAGAGGTTTCATGCAAAATTTGCAGCGTCAGTGTAAGCTTTAAACCTTTCCCATTCTGGTGTTTTATTCACAAAGATATAAGCCAGAAATTCAGCTTCCTGTCCGGTGTTTGTTAAATCATCCGCATGGCCTCCGTTATCTTCCTAGAATAATGAGGTTCCCCGTGTATGACCCTCTGGATCCTATAACGGTCATCCTTCTATACGCTTGTGTTTATGGTCTATTGTTACTCTTGCTTGGTAATGAATATGATTCTAGATCTTTGTCAGATTTGGTGCCTTTTCTTCTAGGACATGCTGGGACTTTTTGTTCCTATATATCTGAAGAGTGGAAGGTTTACGATTCTGTGTATATATGGTCCTTTTTTTGTACAAAGTCTTTTCCACATGAATGTGTTCTTGTTACAGGCTAGAGTTCTTGCGTCTCCAGTCAAAATCAGACCTCATAAATTTGGAGACATAAGTCCGGTTCTTAGTAAGGATGTGTTGATACTTAAAGGGGTTCTAAACCCTGTGGGGTTTTTTTGCCTATATCTACTGCTAGCCAGCAGTAGATATAGGCAAGAAGTTTAAAAAAAAAAAACCCCCACTTTAACAGTGGTTTAAACGTACCTAGTTATTGCTGCGCACTCCCGCGCCTAGAATCAGGAATTGCTCGTGTGACCACAAAGCATCTTGGGGTGGCCGCACGAGCCGGGAGACGAGCAGAGACGCAAGGTAAGTCTAGACGCGTGCACCTACATGCAGACACCGCTGGATCGGAGGGACAGAGCAGTCAGCACTGGATCGGAGAGCTGCTGCAGTGTTGGAGGAAAGATCGGAGTAAGAGACATCATTTAAGGTAAGTGCTAACATTAACATGGGGGGGGTGGTGAAAAAAACTTGACTTTAATGTCACTTTAAGGCCCTAGGAGGCTTGTACCCAAAGGTGTGCGCACAGGGTGTGCCTGGGCACACCCTAATTACCCCCAGTGTAACATCAAAAACCGGAACAGCGGGCACAGTGTTTAGTGACTGAGCTGGTGGAGAGATCACTTGGTGACCAGCTCAGTGATACAGAGCGCAGCAGCACTTGCCATTTACATTCCTCACATAATAGCTGCAGTCCTTGGTGCCTGGGAAGAAGCTGCGAGAGAGCCTGACTGTCTTCCCATCCAATCAGGAAGCCGGGTGGGTGGTCACCTGCCAGGCTCCCTACTTGAGTATTTTTTTTGCACACCCTAATGCAATGGTCTGTACATGCCTATGCTAGTACCCCTTGCCATGCCACCTTGCTACAAACTTTAGTTACTACTTTTTGATGTCCCATCAAAGTCAGACTTGCGTTATAAATTTGCCGAAATAAGTCCTGTTCTTAGCCCTCAAGGCCCTAGGAGGTTGGAACACCTTGCTGTTCTACCTTGCTACAAACCTTGAGTTACTATTTCTCAGTCACCATTCAAAATCAGACCTACCTTTAAAAATGTAAAGAAATGAGTCCGGTTCTTAGTAAGGACGGGTCACTACGCAAGGCCCAGGTTAGCAAAGCATTGCTGGGATATCTCATCTGTCATCTCATGAGATCTCAGGGAAAGGTGTTTTCCTCCCATGAGATGATGTGCATAGTCACATGTGCCAGAAATGTAGGAAGTGAAATGAGATCTAGTAATCTGCTCTTGGTAAACATGGCCACTGTCAGAAGACTGGGGGTAGTAAAGAGAAATAAGGTGCAAAGAATACAAAGCCGGCAATTATCTAGAAGTATCTGTTTGCTGATTGTCATTACTAAACATTTCTACAGGTGTGTTTTTGTTTTAAAGATTTGGGTAAAGGTCCACTTTAACAAAAATGTATCCTCTTTGTGCACCACTCGGCTGTAGATCCTCCAATCATCTCTGAATTGGTGCTGACACTGTCCTTCCTTCTGGAGGGGGGCTACTTTTGTTCCCCATGGCCCTGTGTGTGTTGTAAAGTAGTCGGCACTCCAAGCTCGCTCCTGTGATGGACTACAATCTCATGTTTAGTTTACTAATTTGTATTGGGATTGTAGTCCATCACAGGAGTGAGCTTGGAGCGGGTGGCTACTTTACAACACACACGGGGACCATGGGAAACAAAAGTAGCCACCCTCCAGAAGGAAGGACAGTGTTGGCACCAAGTCCGAGTTATACACAAATAAGATACATTTTTGTTAACAGTTAAGATACTTGAATGCATTTTGAAGATTTGACTCCTGAGTCACTTTAACAGCCCATGCTGTAGTCCTGTTTGTAATCGCGGACATTTGTCTGAGAATGAGGGTGGGGACATCTGAGGTTGAGAATCTAGGCATCGGCCTGATGTACAGTTCCACTGCTTGTCGTGCAGCATGCTTCCATGCATCTTAAAGCACCCTTGTGGACTGATATCCTTATTCTGGTTTCCCTGCCAAGCAAGACACCAACTTGGAACAAGCGTGCAGCCAGTGAAGTCTGAAAAGTCGAACATCATGCATGCCGTTTGCTTAGAAGTGAAGCCAGAATCAGGATGGCGTCTCTGGATCTGCACCTTGACTGAAGTGGGCATCAGCAGCCCCATGTTTTCTATTGCCAAGGCTTCCCTTATTAGCAGCACTGGTAATTGGTCATGGCTTCCCCTATTTAATACTGTAATAAGCTAAGCAGACACGATGTAATTACCTATACATTTCATTCTGAGCACTGCTGTTTTTCTTCTTACAGCAGTTCCTAATATCCAAGAGAGGACTCTGATTGCTGTGAAGCCAGATGGAGTACAGCGGAGACTCGTTGGCGAGATCGTGAAGCGCTTTGAACAGCGCGGGTTCAAACTAGTGGGCATGAAAATGTTGCAGGTACAGTTGTTTGCGTGCAGTGTGGTCACAAAGCATGTATACTCCACTGAACATCACCAGCACAAAAGCCGTCTCATCCAGGAGCTGAAAATCTACTTGTTGTGCAACTTTTCCTCAGCCAGACAGCATTGTATTTCAGTTGTGTGATTCATCAGTGTTGTAAAATACGCAGCTGCAGGTTTGCAGTGATGTACAGTCTGGCCATGGTGCCTATGCTGCTTTTTTGATTTATTCAGCTCCCCTAGGCAGTGGGTGAAATGTCCTGCAGAGACTAGTTCTAGGCAGCCAGTAAAATCACTACATGAGCTGATTCCTGCTAAAGACCAAATGTTGCCATGATGCCAAGTCAGAAAGTCCATTTAGATTATCTGGAGGATTGGTTACCAGTGGACAGTTGTTGGTAATTGAATTTCCAGTCTTATATTTTTATAATCGTACAGTCTTGCCTCTCAGGGATAACTTGGTTTGCTGTTATTCACTTGTATTCTTTCCCTGTTGTCTTGGCAAAGCAAAAGGCAGTCAGTCTGTCCTAACTCATGCCTGTAATCAACAATGACCTATCGCACAATGACCTATCACATAATAAAGATGTTGTCCAGATAATGCAGGGATAGACAAATTAATACGGAATTTGAGCTCTAGCAAAGGCATCCCGAGGCTGGGTGTCACCGGGAGCAGAGACCGGATGACACCGCGCTATGACGTCATCGTGCATGTGCGGTAGTCTTATTGACGCCTGCCAGCGGCCATCTTGACGATGGAAGCTGGCAGAGAGAGGAGGGGACGTTCACCCGGCAGGATGAGGTATGGCGCCGGGTCCCCTCCTCTCCCGACACTGTCGGGCTCTTGGTCCGTGACTGTGACTGAGTGCCCGACTTTTTTTAGGGGGTGACACCAAAATGTGTCAGTCATTTTGGTCTCACCCCTCCAATGGTTCTAGTCTGTCCAATCCAGGAGCCAGCAGGATTTTTTTAGGCACCAGCTACATTGACAACTAGAAAAAACCTCAGAAGTTGGGTGCCAGCTGTTATTTTTAAGGGGCATTGGTGACCTTGCTCCTGGGATAATGTGAAAGAACGATGCATGTCTACTTTCAACAATTCTTTGCCTGCAATCTCTTAATGAGTAGTTTATGATGGCAATGCACAGGCAGATATGAATACTCGATTTCAATATTAAGAGATGTCTGCTCCAGCCTCAGATGGATTCCCAACAGCCTAGATTTACCCTAGACCCCACTGTTCTCACTCCAAAAGGAAATTCTTCTGTTTTCCTGCCTGGAGCTGGACGCACAATCAAAGATTTCAATGTACAACGAATGTCACTGATCAGGTTTAATCAGCAGTAAGACCTCCGTGAACAGGGCCAACTGATCAGAAGCCGATTAATCGATTATTTAAAAAGTTGACAACTTTTTCAATCGATTATGTCGATTAGTTGTTGCAGCCCTACTATAATATACCATTATTTTACATGCAGGATTGCGTCTGTAATAATAAATCGAGGTGGACACATTGGATTAGGGAGTAGTGGCAGAGAACCCCAATGTAATCCCAGCAGCCCCGACTTTGTGGGATTAGAAGTGGAGGGGTTTGATTGTTTTGAAGTACACAGTAATAGTTTCCTTTTCACATCAGAGACTGTCTGTAACAGTCCGTGACAAGGGAAGGAAATGAATAATTACTGTGTGTCATCCAATTCACTCTTTGTCCTGAGCTAGATGCTGTGGCAATGTAAACAGTCCAGGATTGTATGAGACATGGTTCTTTTTTTTTTTCCCCCAAAGCATATACACTGAGTGGCCAGATTTATTATGAGCACCCCATCAGTACTTCGTTGGGCCACGAGATAACTCCACGAGATGACTTCGTTGGGCCGCCTCGTGACTCCACGAGATGTTGAAAAAAGCACCCTTGACTCCACGATCTGACACGGCACTGTTGCCCTTCTGTTGTCTTGTACCAGTCTTGCCACTCTCCGTTCTGCCCTAACATTGACTAGTCGCTGACGGCCACAATTCGCACGTTCAGACCCAGATTTTCGGCTGGCAGTCCAGTCTTTAAACACTTTAACAACAGCTGCTCTTGAACATATCACAAATTCTGCTGTTTTGCTGATACTCGCTCCATGGCTCCGAGCGCCAACAATCATCCCACGTTCAAAGGCTGTTAAATCGCGTTGTTCCCCCGTATCTTCAGAAAAAAATCACTTCTACTGTCGTGGTAAACAACCTGCTTCCCTATTTATAATGGTCTGGCCCTCTAGCAACTTCAGCACGAAATTATAGCTAATTGGCCTACAGTCAGGTGGTCCTAATAATCTGGCCACAAAGTGTATGTGCACAGTCTTGCCTGCTGCCAGTTCTGTGATCCTGATGGTCATGCCAGACAGCATTGACAGGTCCTGCATCTCTACTGCAGCTTATATAGCGTGGTCCAGTACACAACCACAGCCTGCAAACTGAACAGTAAAGAGGCAGAATCACCACTGTGCCCTACTGCTAGGAGGCTTCCTGTGCTAAAATTACTGCTCTGTGACTGCAATAGAGCCTTATTAGCGTCTAGTGTTGGCGTTCCCTATTGCAGTCTGAATCTTGCTGATCACATTAGGCTGATGTAGAGACAAACTTTTGTACAAAATTAATGGAAAAGGGATACTTTGGTACTTTTAAGGAACGCAGTGTTACCCTCTACTCTCATAGGCATTCACTCCTGTTTTTTTTTTTTTTTTTTTTTCTTTTCTCCAGTAAAACTGCTAAGAGTGACAACACAGTAAGGTGCCCCAGCCATCAACCATCCAGTGTTGTCACCCTTTCCTAATGGCTGCACCTTTTCCTAATGGCTGCCATTGCAATGCTTCTGATGTCGTCTATTATCTTAGGCCGACCATACACTGCTCTATTTTTCTCGTTCAACCCACAGGCGGAATGAGAAAAAATGGAGCCGATTCCTCCATTTTAGGAGTTTGTTGATTGAGGAATCCTGCTGTTTGCATTGTGCTCAGACAACGGCTAGTCAGAATGTCCAAATAGCCGGCTCTGATCGTATGAAGATTTTCCAGCCGCCTCCTTCGATCAGCTGACCAAGGGATGCCGACCAAAAGGCTGTTGGCACCCGGCAAATTTCAGCAGGTTCCTCAAACGGTCCAAATTCGCACAGTGTATGGGCTCTCTAAGGGTTCTCTCCATGGAGCAAGAGGGTGGTCACTCCCAACACAGTGTGTCATGCCCAGCCCCACCCTTCCCCGTGTGAGTGACGGCACCTGCCCCATGGTTTAGTATTTTGCTACCTACGGCACTGGGAAGAGGGGGATTGAGAGATGTAGTTCTGTCCCTGACAGCTATGTCACTGGAAATTACATTGCAGCATAACCACTCTAGGCTATAGCTATGACAGCTAATAACATGACTGCTATTTTGAGCTAAAAAAAGTTTGATATAATTTTTAAATGAACTGGACAATTGTATTTGGTATATATTGCTTGCATGTGTAGTTTTACTGCCTTACTGTTACAGCTACTCATTGCAGTAATAGATGAATGAAGTTGAGTCCTTTCAAACAGACTTTCATATGTACTTTCTCTGCCTAGGCCCCAGAAGGGATTCTAGCTGAACATTACCATGACCTGAGGAGGAAACCTTTCTATCCATCTCTTATACGCTATATGGCATCTGGACCTGTGGTAGCCATGGTAAGTATACCATTCAGTTATGACCTGACATTAATGGTTTAGGTTCTATTCTGTTTTCTATGTCAGATTACACGTGCATGCTGTGTGTTCTATACATCTGTTGTCAACCCCATTGAAGAGTGACGGTAGAAAAAAAATGAAGTGGTCCATTGGGTCTGCCTCATTCTAAATGAAGTCTAACTAAAGTCTTATATAGTGGACCAAGGACCTTCTTCCTCCTGCTGGTAATCCTTCCCCATTTAATGGTTTCCAGTCCATCTCTGTAGTGAAATGATGTGGAAATGGCCAACTCAGAATGGTTGATGTGACAATAATGGCACTATATGTATATAGTAATCTTATCTTTTTTTTTTTTTTTCCCCTTACAGGTCTGGGAAGGGTGTAATGTTGTGCGCACGTCTCGTTTTATGGTGGGCGAAACGGATGCTTCTCTAGCTAAGCCGGGCACTGTGCGTGGAGACTTCAGCGTCCATATCAGCAGGTGATTGCCTTTGTTACTGCTGGAATGCTATATAGCATTTGTAATGCTCCATGATTGCTGATTCTAGAGTGGCTCCAGTTGTTGAACCCTTGACCAGTTTAAAGCTAAACTATGCTCTGCCTATGCAAAGCAACCGGTTGACCCCAGCAGTATAAATTTACCTTTTTCTTCTTTCGCCTGCTGCTCGGTAAGCCCTGGAAGCCAAAGGAAATGGTTAGTTCTTTGAAGGAGCATCTGAATCACTACATGCTGGGCTAGCAGGGGAGCCAATGGAAGGTAAATATGTCTATGTGGAGGTCTGCAGTAAAGTGAACCTGTTGCTATGCTCTGCACTGCCCACAGTTTACACCAAGTTTAATATGGAGGAAAGGGGGGGGGACCCACAGGGTATAGAAACTGGAAAAAAAATTTATAATAAAAATGTAAATGGGCACCGACCATTTTGGGTGTAAACGGGTGTTTACACCCTGTCTAACTGCCTAAGTACTTATATATTTTTGCTAAACTATATGGTTGCGGTCAATTTTATGTTATTACATTTTTTTTTTTTTTTTTTCTATACACTGTGGGTGGGGGTTTTTAATTTTTTTTTTTTTTTAATTTCCTTTTCCTCCATATTAAACTTGTTTTCACACGGCAGGATCTCCAGCTGTAAAACTTTTATTCACTCTGTGGCCTTGCATGGCCTGCTAGAACTCAACTGAGAGATGGAGACAGTGTTGTCACCCTATAGCAGGAAATGTTTTAATGGCAGGATCAACAGGCATTGTAATGTAAGCTGCAGATTTAGAAACCTTGACCTTGATTTGACATTATATTACTGTCAAAGCTGGTATGGGATTGCAGTGATTTTGGGTTTGTTTATTTTAATAATTCATATAAGATTCTTGTACAATGCCAAATAGGTTTTTACAGCAGGTGAATAAAAGGAAAACATTGCAAAAGAGGCCTAGAGCTCCGCCTGAATAAAAAAGGAATACAAAATATACATTGTGGTGAATTTATAGAAAATGGAGCAGACGAAATCTGGAGCAGCTGTGCATGGCAACCAATCAGCTTCTCTCTTCAGTGAGTTCAGTTAAGATTTGATAATGATAAAGTGAAGCTGATTTTATTTATTTTGTTCTATAACCACTTGGATCCACTGCATCCAAAAACCACTATGTTCGTTTTGAATATCTTCCCACAACTCTTCTCCATTTATTGCTTGGCCTGCCCATTGCTTTTGCAGCCTGTCTGCTTGTGTGAAAGTATAATGAAACAGCCGCCACATGCATGAAGATAGCCAGGACATGCGACCTTGGCCCTATGGTGTTCAATTTTCAGACACGTAAATTACAATCGGCAAGCCATCCAGCTGACGGAAACATTTACACAGAGCAGTGGTATGGGGTTCAATTTAAAAATATAACTGTAGCACTCAAAGTGCACTCCTTCTATAAATGTCAGTCATGTGGGTTTTCATCGTGAGGGACAGCTATAGAATGTCAGCTGTCATTTCCATACCTTTGCTATTTAGATCCAGGGCTTAACTTAAGCAAAGTGTGCATTGTCCATGCAGGCAAATGCAACAGGTTCCCTTTAGGCCCCATTAACATGGTGAAGTGCAGTGGGTTGGCTCACACACATCAATGCACGTTGTGTTAAGTCAGTGCGTTCACTTGAATGGGCTGCCAAAGTGCCATAAAGGAGCAGAAAATGCCACTGTGCTATTTTTTCTTTTCAGTGCAGCACATCATGGGTGTATTCCTTCAGTGCTTTGGGGTGCCATTCAACATGAATGGCAGTGCAGTAATGGCTGCATGGTGCATTGCAGTAAAGGGCACATTACCGCAACACAAAGGTGTAAAGGACCTAATCCACCTTCAAGCAGCTATGGTTGCCTTTCCTTCACTATCTCTGTATTCAGCTGCCATTAGCCAAAAATCTGATATATCCAGGTATGCTGAAGCCATGTGACTTGCTTGCCTTTGTCTCATGTGACAGCACTAGTGCACGGTGATTGGCCAAGCCTTTTCAGATGGGGTCAAAGAGGATCCACAGCTCTTTGGGAGTTCCAACTGGAAATACTTGTACAAGGCTTTCTTCACTTTGGCTAGTGGCTGAACATTTTGGAGGGGGGGGGGAAGTTATATTCAACTGGCGGTGTTGGGCATTAAAGTGAACCCCCTGCATGGGGTAAGCACAGGTTTGCTTTAAAGTAAACCCTTCTTATGAGTAACATGGTGAATGCCATTAGTGAATATCGAGGGAATTCATGGCTTAAGAAAACCGTTATGGGGAAATATGTAGGCTGTCATTGCTGAACTACCTTCAAAAAAAAGCCAGTTGACTGGCTATGGTTTCAATATTTTGTCATCGACTGGGAACTATGGAGCCACTGAGGTCAGAACTCCTGACTGTCATTTTAAATCCAAGATGGAGAGTATTGAAGCCAAGGACTTGGAGTAGAGGAGCATTCTCCAGGCTAGGGCGCTGGCTGTAGAGCTCGGTTTTAGCCGCTCGATAATATGCTACAACCTGATCTCTTTTTTGATCTACCAACAAGCATGTAGTGCATTGGATACAAATTGATTTCCTAGTTTAGGCAGGTCCTCCTCTTGCATAGTAAATCGAACGTTGATTGTATGGCTAGCCCTAGTAGAAGGACATGTTTGCTGTAATGATATCTTAAAAGAACCTTTTTTGTTTGTCTATTTCCAGGAACATCATCCACGCCAGCGACTCCATAGAGGTAGCCGAACGGGAAATCAGCTTGTGGTTTCACAATACGGAGCTGATCGACTGGCAGACGTCCGATCACAATGACTTGTATCAAGTTTGATGCTGCTACATGGCCCCCCTAGACGCACAAAGACTCTTACATCCTTTCTGAGGAGCCATTAAATAGCTGGTGACTGGCATCATACCTTCTAAGAGTGGTGCTCATTAGTTTACATTCTTTCCGTCCAGGCCACCGTTTTGGGAAGTTGGCAGCTCACCAGCCATCCTTGTTACTGTTACAATAAATGGTCATTTTTTTTTCTGCCGTCTTTATATAAAAATAGCTGTGTGCCAGTGTCCTGTTTATACCATCAGTCATGAAGTTGTTCTGTGGGGTTTTTTCCCATTACTTTCCCTCGCATGGGAATGTTGTATTTCTGTGATCTTGCCCTTCCTCTGCCTGCAAAGTGTCTGTTTATGAACCCTGTACATCATAGCACTTCATCACACAGCTATAGAGCAGAGGGTGATTGCTGAATCACTGGTTGGAAACTGCGGATAATGGGGATTGCTTTACAGGACAAGACCAAATGCCCTCTGGTTTTTATAGCAAAGCAGTGAGGATGTGCAGTGTAGAAACAAATTGGTTATCTCACTATAATGAAGTGAAAGCTGTTTGCGATTATCATCTGAACTCTGCACATCGTCATTGCTCTTTGCTGCTTTGTTAAAGCCCAACCGGACATTCCATTTAAAAGAGAAATAAAGCCAAACCACTCTTTATTGCCTTTTTTGTCCCTTTTTGGGGGTCGCAGGAATACATTTACGTATAGTGGTCTACTGGCCCCTATATGCTGCAGCCAGGAAGGATCCTGAGAATCTACCTGGCTTCCTGATTGACAGCTGGCTCTTCCTCTCTAGAGCCAAAGCCTGTTGTGCCCACATCCCTCCACTGTGTGTCCCTTCAATGAACACTGGCGGACCAGAGAGAGGAGGGGGAGAGAATCCTTGTGGGGAGCGGTGACTGGCAGCCACTACACTCTGCAGGGAGAAGCTGAATAATCAGTGGTGATTGCTTAGTTCTCAGTATATAGAGCTGGAATAAGACAGAGCCAGCGTGTGACACTACAGCTAAGTATTGGGAAGAGTACATTTTACTCAACCAATACTACTTTAAATTGGCTACGTGTGTCATGACAAAAGCTGTGTGAAGTCTTAGTCTGCTTTCTTTAGAAAGCAGCCACATCCTGTGTATAAAAGCCTGTACCCTGCCGTTATGCTGTAGTAAAGGATTGTCGCTCTCTGCAAAAGTCTGACGTGCCCCTGGCTGAGTCTGAGCTATGGCTCGCCAATGGACAGGGTGCAGAGTTTTCATTCCAGCCATTAGCAAATGGCATATTTTAAAGCAAAATAAATGAATCCGTTTGAAATTGTGCTTTAAGGATCTTGTTAAAAGATATATTGTGCCCAAAGGAAACATATATATTCTCTTTTTTTTTTTTCTTCAACTTGGGAGGGGGAGAGAGCCATTGGAGAATATTGATAGGCGTGTTATGTTGACATGCATTGACACGTGTTATTGTGCATTTGTTGCTGTTTTTTTTTTTTATCCAATGCATCGGTATAGCGTGAGCAGAGTTCATTTATTTTCTGTGGGTCTTTGCATTGAGCCTGTGCTGATCAATACAGACAATGTGTGAATAAGCCCTTACAGAGAATATGTTCTTGTTTTACTGGTGCTTATGTGGCTGAGAATATTGTGACTGGGCATATACACCAAGGCTAGATTACTGTATTGTTAATGATGGTGTAGGGTTAAAAAGGGAGGTTGCAAGCTGTGGGGTGTAAAGCTGCCTGTACACACAGCCCTAGTGCCAAATCCTGCCCTTTCCCCTGTCTCCTGCCATACAGAGAGCTTCACAGGGATCCTGCCTGCTGTATTTACACTTTTGCAATCAAATTTGAGAAAACACCTCTGTTATGTGTTCCTATTCACACATCATACTGAAAAGTAATAATCATTTTTTTTAAAGATATATTAAATTTTTTTTTTTTTAAAGATGTTTTGTTGCAGCAGCAGGCAACATAGCTGAATCATAGCGTTCATACATGGACAACGCAATTAAAAACATAGCATGGGAACCTCTACTTTGTACAGATGACTCATAACTTCTTATTGTATAGCATAAAAGAATTAGAACTGGATGCTGTACCCCAAAAAGGACAGGTGCAGGACAAAGGACTAGTCACCAGTTGTGTTCTTACTGCAGCTGATCCTTCCCCATTAGTAATGCACAATGCCATGTTTATAGAGGGAAGGGGTTTGCTTTATGTCACAGCCTCCAGCAAGGAGAACAGTGAGTAACACAGTGGTCAGATCTCCTGAGATTAACAGTACAGAGAAAGCCTGAGATCTCCTTCTGCAGATATTCACCTGACGCATGATGCGGTAGGTACAGGAGCACTTAGGCACACTCATATATCAGAATCTGTGCTGATATTTTGCAGGAGGAACGCCGCATAAAGGGTAAATGTTCAGGCACTAACCACTTCTAAATGTGGACTGGTATACACTGCTAATGTTTTTATATTGCATTTTTGGAAAACTTTATGCAGACTAGGACTAGAGTCCATATAGCAAAAGGCATGCACTGGGTTACATTTACATAACCAAATTATTTATATAAGAGGGAGAGGACAAAAACAAAAAAAGAAAACACTAGAAGGTGTCCCTTAAAGGCTAAGTTTACCTTTCTGACCATGTTTCATAACACTCCCATATTCATGGTGTAACCTGAAACACGGGGTCACATTCAGGGCCGGATTTACTCTCCCTGCCGCCCCAAGGCCAGGTTCCGCAATGCACCCGCCTTGTGGGAATCCGGACCTGGTCACATTGCATCCCCTTTACCCCTATCCTGCCCCCACATTTACCTGAATTATGAGGTTCTTATCCCTACAAGCTGCTTCTCTTTTGTTTGTTGATGTGTCATCCATTTACAGATCTTTTTGACAGGATCTGGGAATGGAGAAGCTACAAGTCCCATCCGCCTTGTAGAGGGACTCGGTGAAATATGAGTGCGGAGCCATCACTGTACTTGCATTCCACTCATCCACCCCCCCATGTTGCTGAATAGAGAATCTGCAAGAGCATTGCCCCCATGCTGCACTGACCGTGAGTGGATGCCATTTGCATGCTACTATCACCCCTATATGGTGCTGACGCGTAAAGGAATTATACTTGTCCGTGCCAGCTAGGGGCACGCGGGCTGCGTGAATGGCATATGCCAGGCGCGACTTTATAAATGAACCCCCATCGTGTAAATGGGCCCATAATAAAAAAATGTCTGTGCATAATGTGTACATTAAACTAATATAACCCCAAGCCCGAGTAGCATAAAGCATGAAGATTACATTGTGTGCTGAAGGTCCTGCTTAGGTGCAGTGTACAGTTTTATATACAGTTTAGGGCATGTGTGTCACTTTCATGAGGATACCGGCAATCTTATTGTGGTTTGCAAGTGCCAGAGATAAAGGGCCCCTTCAGACTGTTGTGATGTGGCTCTGTGTGCTGGGCCGTGCCATTCATCATAATACAACTTGTACAGTGGCTGCCAACATACAGCGGCACACCACAACGCACATACCGGCGGTGTATTGGGGAAAAAAAGGTGCATGTACCGTGTTTCCCCGAAAATAAGACACTGTCTTATATTTTTTTTGCCCCACAAAAACACACTAGGTCTTATTTTCAGGGGAATGTCTTATTTTTTTTTTTTTTTATGTGCAACAAAATGTACAACAATCTAAAGTTATCTGGTATCACTCCGTCTGTCACAGTACCGGACAGCTGTACCAGCAGTGCGGACATCAGACAGTGGAAAGCGCGGTAAAGTACGGTACCATTTACCAGTTCACATTACAGTACAATACCATTACATTAAGCAGTGCCTTCGTGGGACAGCAGTTGGTGAAGTCTGGTACTGGAGTGCTCCCTGTCACTGCGCTGGCCGGAGGGAGTCCCCTGTCATCCCCTTATTACAGTATGTCCCTGCAGGCTGATACAATCTCTCCTGCTCTTCAAGTTCCCCCTCACATGCTACCACCAAACTAGGTCTTACATTCGGGGTAGGTCTTATATTACAGGAATCTTGAGAAATAGTGCTAGGTCTTACTTTCGGGGTAGGTCTTATTTTCGGGGAAACAGGGTATGTTCAATGGCACATAGAGATTCTTAGCAGCCAAATTATAATGAACAAACTGACTTAAAGTAGTATTAAATGCTGAAACTTCAATGAATCAGAGCAAACATACATTGCCCAGCATAGGATTTCATTATATTTTTGCTCAAACACACTGTCATTATGTGTCCTAGCAGCTCCAACTCTCAGCTCGGCTTCCCTGAACTTCCTGTCCAGTACAAGATCACAATGGAGAGAGCAATCTCCAGCAGCCGTCCCATCTACTAGCCTGGAGGAGCAGGAAGCAGGGGAGTGTCTTGCCTTGCTGTGCCTGTGTGATTGTGGAGACACACACAGCTTACTAGCACACACAAGAGTGGCTCCGTAGGACCCTGCAAGGGAAAGGAGCCACCCTAAAAAAAACATTATATCAGGACCAGTGCTCAGGGGACCAGCTGATTCTGCAAGAAGCTAAAACGTTTAAGGATCAAAGAGCAGCGTCCATTGTAAGTGATTTCCCCAGCATTCAAAATAATTTAAAAACCTTTTGAGTTTAATATGGTTGGCAGCAGGAACCATAAGGCCACCCAGCACTTCAGGTTGGTAGCAGGAACCAAAATGCCACCCGCCACTTAAGGTTGGTAGCAGGAAACATAAGGCCACTTGCCGTTTCAGGTTGGTAGCAGGAACTGTAAGGCCACCGCCTGCTTCAGGTTGGTAGCAGGCACCATAAGGCCATCCGCCGCTTCTGGTTGGTAACAGGAACCATTAGGCCACCCACCGCTTCTGGTTGCTAGCAGGAACCAGAAGGCCGCTTGCCACTTTAGGTTTGTAGCAGGAACCATGAGGGCCACCTGCCATTTCAGGTTGGTAACAGGAACCATTAGGCCACCCACATCTGGTTGCTAGCAGGAACCAGAAGGCCGCCTGCCACTTTAGGTTGGTAGCAGGAACCAGAAGGCCACCTGCCATTTCAGGTTGGTAGCAGGCACCATAAGGCCACCCTCCGCTTCTGGTTGCTAGCAGGAACCATAAAACCTCCCACCGTTTCAGGTTGGTAGCAGGAACCATAAGGCCACCTGCCACTTTAGGTTGGTAGGAGGAACCATAAATCTGCATGCCGGTAGCTGGAACCATAAGGCCACCCACCCTTTGAGGTTGGTAGCAGACACCATAAGACCACCCACCCTTTGAGGTTGGTAGCAGACCCCATAAGGCCACCTGCCACTTTAGTTTGGTAGTAGGAACCAGAAGGCCACCCGCCGCTTCAGGTTGGTAGCGGGAACCAGAAGGCCACCCGCCGCTTCAGGTTGGTAGCAGGAACCAGAAGGCTGCCTGCCACTTCAGGTTGGCAACACTATCCAGTTACTCATATGTCAAGGATATATGATCTATAGCTAATGTGATGCAAAGCTCATGGAAGCAGAAAGTCACCACTCATGAAACTCCATTTACTATAGAACCTACAATCACTACTGATGCCAGACCGGAGATGGACTTTAATGAGGTATTAATGACTACAGAGCTGCAATAATTTGTGCCATTTATAACAGTCTGGAGTTCATCTTTAAGTCCCCGTTCATACATGGGTGTCTCATGAACACACGTCAAACATGTACAGGTTTAGGTTAGTTTAGGTCAGGGCAATGGGGCAAAAGGGATAATGGCACCGTGTCTTATCCTTTAAGGCAGGGTTGGGCAACTCTGGTGTTCTATCGAAAGCTCCAACTCGTCGAAATCTCCAACTACCTCACTGCCGGGTACTTGCAAGTTGGAGATTTTGACCAGACGGCGTTAGACCGCAAAACACAAAGACTGACGGAGCTCTGTACAGCTGCATTTTAACAATATTCAGCAGGTGGCAAACTTGACGAGTATTCTGAAAACGCTATGCGCGCATGCGCACAACTGTACAGAGCTCAGTCTTTCTGAGCCCCGGAAGTGAGGTAGTTGGAGATTTCGATGAGTTGGAGCTTTCGATAGAACACCTGCCCTCCAGCTGTTGTGGAACTACAGGTCCCATGAGGCATTGCAATACTGACAGTTACAGGAATGACTGCCAGAGGCAAAAGCATGATGGGATCTGTAGTTAAATCACAGCTGGAGGCCCGGAGTTGCCAACCCCTATAAAAAGATAAAAACAGTGGCTGTCATTGCTTGAATTGCTAGTTACCTGGCTGTTATAGTAACCCACCTGATTCAATAATTTCTGCTCTTGAGCCTCATGAAGCATTGCAGATACAGGATTCTGACCCTCCAGACCATAGATCCAGAAAAGTACTGCTAAGGGATAACATGACAGCCAGGCAGCTGGCATCTTCAGCAGGGGGTTCAGCCATAGCAGACCCCATGTTGTTATCATGACAGATTCACTTTAGAAACCTGAGACTTTCATTTTATTATTTCATTCTATTGGCTGGATAATGTTCCAACATGAACATTACACTATTCTCATGCATAATAAAGAATCACCTTCGCGCATGCGCACCGGGCAGGCAATCAGAGCCGCTCACTGGGCGCCCGTTCAGCCCGCATTGCGCAAGCGCAGAAGAAACCCGCCGGGAAAACTACAGGTCCCAGAAGTCTGTGCGGCAAGGAGGTGAGAGGTGCTTCTAGGAAGATTGGATACAAAGTCCAGCCAGGTCTGCAAGAGGAGTGAGTATGAGAGACCCGGGTGTGGGTGAAGGGTGATAGTAGGGGGTCTGCTGCAAAAATGTGCATGTGTTATGTCTTATGGTGAACACTGTATTGTGTATACTAAACATCTATATGTGGCACCTCCTGGACCGTGCAGCCCCTCTGTGCCTTGGGATCAGTGTTGAATAAACAAATGTCTGTTTATTGCTGCTTGCTCCTATGTTTTACTACAATTTTCATGCAAATATTTTAAAATGATGACTATAAACTCACAGCCTGCAGAAAACAATAACAATGCATAGACTATTGTAATACAGGACGACTCGTGCAGTGCTTTACAGCTTGTATTGCCAGCAATGCAGCGAAAGGACCCGAATTAGAAATCTCTTGTGCGTTTATGCGTTTGCATTGGTGTGTTTTCTTTTTTTTTTTACCTGTACGATTCCAGGTTTATATTTTTTGTATTTATATCGGCTCATTATAATATAATGTGTGGCACAGTATATAGAACCTTGGTATGAACCCAATGGGTTTGGCCAAGTCTGCGCAAAACTGTGACTGACACCCCAACCTGGCCTAATCGGTAGAACAGGGGGATTCCCCGCCCCATTTGTGACATGTAGCTGTAGAATGCCCCGGCCGCAGCTCATCGGGGGGGATGACAGTTTTGCATAGGCATGGGCGAACTGGGTTCCCAGCTCATCACTAGCCAAGAGTTGCTTCAGGTTGTGGATAAGTGTCCCCTTGCACTGGAAGTCAATACAAAAGGATGCCCGTAGATCAGTGGTTATTGGGGGAATACTATTGGCCAATGGAAAATTGTTCCTTTCATTGGTGATAAGTGAGAAGAATGCCTCTTACATTGGTGGTCAGTGGGAAGAATGCCCCTTACATTAGTGGTCAGTGGACAGAATGCCCCTTACATTAGTGGTCAGTGGACAGAATGCCCCTTACATTGGTGGTCAGTGGGAAGAATGCCTCTTACATTGGCGATCAGTGGGAAGAATGCCCCTTACATTGGTGGTCAGTGGGAAGAATGCCCCTTACATTGGTGGTCAGTGGACAGAATGCCCCTTATATTAGTAGTCAATGGAATACTCGCCTGATCATCGGTCCTGCAGCGGCCAGCGCTCTCCTCTCTTCTCCTCTGTCCAGGCTGTGGAATCTCCCTCGGCATCCTCACATCTAATGCAGGTGAACAGACCTGCATTAGACGTGATGACATCAATGGTCCTCAGACTGCTGGAGCCCAGGGGAGAAGAGGCTGTGGGGACCGATCTAGCAGCTGGGCAGGATCGAGGATCAGGTGAGTATATCTGCTGTATTTTTATGCAGTGTGGGGGTAGCCCCACTAGAAGGGTTCATTTGAACAAATCCTGGTGTTCTTCTTTAACACAGTTCTTTGGAGGTGCTGTTGCGTCGGACCGCTGCACTCAATGAGAGAGAAAGCAGTAGTCGCTCTGCATGAGGGGCTTCTAGCACTGAGTCAGCACGGGCATTATGGCAATAATACATGCTAGTATAGCCTTCACCAGCCTTACAAAGCCGGCGCTCCCTCGTCTCTCAGTCTGCTGCCATTTTCTTATGCTTCTTCTGGGCCCGGCTTCTTCCCTCGTCAGCCATTGGGCAGCCCCTAATGATCCTGGCACCCGGCTCCATTATCCACATCTACTTACCAAAGTTTTTTATTCCTACAGTTTAGTTTTGCTTTAAATCCACTTTAAATGTACAATTGCGTTCTTACTTGTTCTGTGTGAATGCCAGCTCTGGAACTCCTTCCCCATGTGGCCAGCTGTGTTATTGATAGGCATACATGTGGCCAGCACGATGGACCCCCTTCCCCATCTGGTAATGATAGGGATACATGGAGCCTGTCATAAATGATGGAACTCCTTCCCCATGTGGCCAGCTCTTGTAATGATAGGGATACAAGGAGCCTGCCATGCATGATGGAACCCCCTTCTTCAGGTGCCCAGCTCTGATAATGATAGGGACATATGGAGCTTGTCATACATGATGGATCCCCTTCCCCATGTGGCCAGCTCTGGTAATCATTGAGATACATGAAGCCTGTCATACATGATGGACCCCCTTCTTCATGTGGTCAGCTGTGGTAATGATAGAGATATATGGAGCCTGTCATACATGGTGGAACCTCCTCCCTTATGTGGCCAGCTCTGGTAATCATAGGGATACATGGAGCCTGTCATACCTGATAGAACCTCCTCCCTTATGTGGCCAGCTCTGGTAATCATAGGGATACATGGAGCCTGTCATACCTGATAGAACCTCCTCCCTTATGTGGCCAGCTCTGGTAATCATAGGGATACATGGAGCCTGTCATACCTGATAGAACCTCCTCCCCATGTGGCCAGCTCTGGTAATCATAGGGATACATGGAGCCTGTCATACATGATGCACCCTTTTCTCATGTGGCTAGCTCTGGTAATGATAGGGATACATGTGGCCAGCTCTGGTAATCATTGGGATACATGGAGCCTGTCATCATTGATGGAACCTCCTCCCCATGTGGCCAGGCATTGAGCGACCTGCAAGTTGTCTGAACAAAACCTAACCAGCAAAGCACGGCTCGGTCTTGCAACCACCATTTGTAACATAGACCATTCCGAATGTGAACAACTGAGTGCATCACTTCTTTTTCTTTCAGCAATCCTGTGAAGATGTCTGAGCTTCCAGGTTTAGATAAAGCTCCAGAAGATGTGGAGAGTGATGATTGCCTGCCTTCCTACAACTATCTCTACAGCCCAGTTCTCCTCCAGTAAGAAATTGCTTTACTCCTGATTTAAATGTCTCCATTCATTACATGGATCTCATTGTAGGATAGGGATTCAGCCTCTCAAACTAGCTGCAGTTTTCCTGCAGCTGATGCCAGGCAAGTTGTCTCTTAAATCGGACCTGAGCTGCTGCACATACTGTTGTCTCTGTGATGCAGCTGAAAAGTCCTGCGCTTTCAGCATTAACAAAACATGGAAACATCAAGTTTGGATCAGCTGATTTACATTAAAACATATTGGGGGGAAGTTACCAAAGCTTCCTGGTGCGAGCAGTGTGAGTCACATTACGGCCTCATTCACACGAGAAAAGGCCGACACGTACAGCTCCGTGCTGAGTGCACGGGCAGCCCCCGGGAAGGACAGGTGCTGCGTGTGATAAGTACGCAGCCCCTGTCCTTCTCTATGGGAGTACGCGGCCGTACGCCACCCTATGCTCACCCGCCCTGCACGTCCGTGCGCGTGCGGGTGTCCGTACTCGTATGCTGACAGGATGGATCCTGTCTGCGTCCGAGCCGGGGCACCTGCACACGTACGGACCTGCATTTGGGGTGAGTGTAGGGCGGCGTATGGCTGCCTACTCCCATAGAGAAGGACAGGGGCTGCGTACTTATCACACGCAGCACCTGTCCTTCCCGGGAGCTGCACGATACGGCCGCGTACGCACCACGGAGCTGTACGTGCTGGCTGATTCTCGAGTGAATGAGGCCTACCAAAGCAGTTTCCCGTAATCCTCATTTTTATTTTCCAGTGATGTCACCATCTTCCTAGTACAGATTACTCCTTCCAGCAGCCAAAAGAAGAATCTGTAATATAACCTTAGATCCTTAGATAACGAGCCCTTTATGTAAGGATATGACGTGCACTGGAAGGAGTCATCTGTACTAGGAAGATGGTGACGTCACTGGAAGATAAAAATGAGGATTACGGGAAAAATCCTGTTATTGAACTTTCATTTTTGGGAATTTGGCATTCCACCCCCTTCTCTTCATTTCAACTAGCAATTAACAGACTCACCAGCATTGATCCATCATACAAGGAAATGTGTGGGGTCCGCCTGAATCAGTGGATGGTATGTATGATTTTGACAACGTGGTCAATTCGTTTTTAATAGGCGGTTTGGGGCAAGGTGCAATATGATATGGGATTTATCTTTTGGAAGGCTTTTGGTTAAATTAAAGTCAGACATCCCAACTCTCCCGGATGTTCCGGGAGTCTCCTACTATTAAGAGAAAGCAGCAGTGACTGGTCTTTGTTACAGGAGGGGGCGGAGACAAGACCAGTCACCTTGCACAAGGAGAGAGAGCAGCAGTGACCGGTCTTTATTACAGGAGGGGACGGAGGCAAGACCAGTCACCTTGCACAAGGAGAGAGAGCAGCAGTGACCGGTCTTTATTACAGGAGGGGACGGAGGCAAGACCAGTCACCTTGCACAAGGAGAGAGAGCAGCAGTGACCGGTCTTTATGACAGGAAGTAAAGTTTTACACTGAATCGCTTCACAGATCTGTAAAAAATACACAAAGCACACTGAGATCCAAGTAAGAATACACACGACTCTTGTGTTTAGACAATATTTACTTATCCCGGAGTTGAGCTTTAATTGTTTCCATCTGAGAAGTGACTTCAGTCACACAGTCTGGAACTAGATGAGACTGAGAAAATCTCTGTCAGAAAATACATCCGTGGATGAATGCAGCATTGTCATCTGAGCATTAACTTGGTTCTCTCTGCAATCTAGGGGCAGAGTGGCCTTCATCACAGGAGGGGGTTCAGGGATTGGATTCCGAATTGCTGAAATATTCATGAGGTACAGTTCTCACTCATTGTGCTTTCACTCCAACATTCCTTCACTTCTTTATCTGCCCCTCCATGCTTGTTGTACATTGTAACATTGATTGTCCTGTTCTTTCTCGATCCCCAGGCATGGTTGTGACACCGTGATTGTTAGCAGAAACCTGCCAAAGCTGAAAGAGGTAATGGGGACTCCACGTAATATATCCTATAGGCAGCCAATCAGAAATGATCTCCTTACTGATCTAGCGAAAGTATGCTGAAACCTGATTGGTTGCTCTGTGAGGCAGCACATTATTATTGCTCTTTGCATTGTCTATTGCTCGACATACACGGCTCAGTTTCTCTCTTCGGGCCCCGGGGCTGAGCTAGAGAAAAACAAAAGATGCCCCCATCCATGCTAAACAGCGTGGAAGGAGAAATCCCCACTGTGGCTATTGTATTCAGGCATCCCTAGCACATGGCTGCCTGAATGCTAATATCTGATGGGATACAGTCCATTTGGACTAGGGATGCACCGATACCGTTTTTTGTTTTTTTTTGGTACCCACCGATACCCAAAGTCCCATTAAGGAAGCCAGGCGGCCTGTAATGACTCGCCACCCGGCTTCCAGATTAGCTGGGAAGCTGTCTCCATGCTCCCTCGTCACCAAGTGACGAGGAAGCATGGAGGCGGCTTAATGGCCAATCAGGAAGCCTGGTGCTGTGAACTGACTCGTTGCCCAGCTTTCTGATTGGTCGAGAAGCTGGCCGGTCAGGAAGCCGGGCAACGAGTCATTACACCAAGTGACGAGGAAGCATGGAGCCGGCTTTCTGGCCAATCAGGAAGCCAGGCGCCATGTAATGACTCGTTGGCCAGCTTCCTGATTGGTCGAGAAGCTTCCTGATTGGTCGAGAAGCTGGCTGGTCAGGAAGTCGGGCAACGAGTCATTACATGGTGCCCGGCTTCCTGATTGGCCGAGAAGCCGGCTCTATGCTTTCTCGCTAATCAGAAGCATGAAGACGGCTTTCTGGCCAATCAGAAAACCGGGCACCGTGTAATGACACCGAGTGACGAGGGGGCATGGAGCCGGCTTCCCGGCCAATCAGGAAGCCAGGCAGCGTGTAATGACTCGCCGTCCAGCTTCCTGATACCGGAGGTTCAGGTATCGGGCTAGGCATCGGAGCATTTGGGCAAGTACGAGTACTCGCCCAAATACTCGGCACCTATACAGATACTAGTATCGGTATGAGTGCATCCCTAGCTTGGACAATAATTTTCCACCCGACTGAAGTTGTTTTAAAATTGTCTTTTGTCAAGCCAGGTCTTGGCCAAAATTTTAGCCATCTATGACCAGCTTAAATCTAGCCACAGACTCTGGAGAACAATTTGGTGTGCAGTCACAATCTGGATGCCCGTAGGCATGCCTTTGGCCAGCAGTTGTATAAACATGTAGGCTTGGCTCAACCAAGAGTACATATTTATGTAATGGGAGGAGGAGAAAGTGCGGGTAGAACAAGGAGAGAGAGCAGCAGTGACCGGTCTTTATTACAGGAGTGGGCGGAGACAAGACCAGTCACCTTGCACAATGAGAGAGAGCAGCAGTGACTGGTCTTTATTACAGGAGGGGGCGGAGACAAGACCAGTCACCTTGCACAAGGAGAGAGAGCAGCAGTGACTGGTCTTTATTACAGGAGTGGGCGGAGACAAGACCAGTCACCTTGCACAAGGAGAGAGAGCAGCAGTGACCGGTCTTTATCACAGGAAGTAAAGTTTTACACTGAATCTCTTCACAGATCTGGAAAAAATACACAAAGCACACTAAGATGACAGTAAGAATACACATGACTCTTGTGTCTGCATGCCTTTTGACCAGCAGTTGTATAAACATGCTCAACCAAGAGTACATATTTATGTAATGGGAGGAGGAGGAAGTGCGGGTAAAACTGGTTTATCTGGAAGGACAGAATAGAAAGATGGCATGGATTTCAAACCTATCCAGTTGATCTTCCCATCAATATCAGTAGGGATGAGCTCAGGTTCGAGCATACCTGAGCTCCTCCAAACCATGGGGAAGTGCCATGGGGTTACCTGGCCAATTAGCTGCAGGCTGGGACATTCTCCCACCTTGCAGCTGAACATAAACAAAGGGGCGGGATGCTTGTGCTGACTATTTTCTAAGGCCACATATTAGGTAAATGTCATTGATATGGCCATATCAGGTCAATCATGTTGCTGCATCCCGCTCCTTTGCCTATGTGCAGCTGCGGTAAGGGAATATCCAGGCCGCAGCTGATTGGGTGGCATTGGAATGAGCTTTCTTCTGTGTTTGGAGGAGCTCAGGTTCAGACCGGGTCTGGTCCAAACCCATGCTAATCCCTAAATATCAATCAGCCAGGGGGTTGCTGCTTTTCACATAGACCTTTGACTGGTTCAGGCAATGGACAACAGAGTGGCAGCACCCCCCTAACCCCCCCTCCCAGGCGGTGAATAGGCTAGGGACGCTGCTGCCTGGGAACTACCTTAGCTTACCTCTTTAAAGCAAGAGAGAGATTCCCAAACACAATCACATCAGTCTTCTTGTTGTCTTGTAAGGAAGCCTCATCAAAGAGCTATTGCTATTACACTGCACTGCTATTGCACACTGTCTGTGTCCAGGTAACCGCACTTGGACCTGCACCGATGTGCAGGTGCAGGTTCAGGTCTGCGTGTAGCCACGTGCAGTCGTGTCCTCCAATAGGGAAGTACAGGCAGCTGCACGCAATTACACGCAGCACCTATTCCTCCCGTGACCAGGTGTGTTGTGAATGCCCATGTGAATGAGCCTTTAGATGCTTTTTTTTTTAGGCAGCTGAAAAACTACAAGTGGCAACGGGCCGGCGATGTCTTGCTGTGGCTGGAGATGTCCGGCAGCCTCAGACCCTGGTAGATGCTGCGGATGAAGCCTTGAGAACTTTCTCCAGGATAGATATTCTTGTGAACAGTGAGTATCACTAGGATGATAGTAGACGTGGATGGAGTGTGAGGCTTTAGGCAAATCTCAAACATGAGGCCCACACTTACACCCATAATGAAGACAATTACAACCCGCACGCTGGGACCGCCCTGTGCAGGCTGGTGCTCTATCGAAATGGCCAACTCGTCGAAATCTCCAACTATGTCACTTCCAGTGACTTGCTAGCAGGCCCCATCAGTTTTACACCCCCCGACTTATTATAAGATATACTTTAAAAGAGAACTGTGGGGGTGAGTGTTTTTCCCTATATTTCTCTTAAGGGTCACAGGAAGACATACAGGTGAAACTCGAATAATTAGAATATCGTGCAAAGTTCATTTATTTCACTAATGCAACTTAAAAGGTGAAACTAATATATGAGATAGACTCATTACATGCAAAGCAAGATAATTCAAGCTGTGATTTGTCATAATTGTGATGATTATGGCTTACAGCTCATGAAAACCCCAAGAACCCCAAATCCACAACCTCAAAAAAGTAGATTATTACATGCAATCAATAAAACAAGGATTGTACATGGAACAATATCGGACCTCTGAAAAGTACAAGCATGCATATGTACTCAGTACTTGGTTTGGGCCCCTTTTGCAGCACTTACTGCATTTACTTTTGCATGATATTCTAATCATTCGAGTTTCACCTGTATACTAACCTCCTCCTGTGACCCAAAGCTTAGTATATAGCAAGCTATTGCCCGCAAATTACTGAGAGCACCACAGCCGGGACGGATCCTGACAGTACTGTCGAGATCCACCCAGCTGCGTGAGGAGCTATCTAGAGGCAGTGCCAGCTCTTCCCGCCCTCTCCCCCATCCGTTCCTCCAGTCAGCACTGGAGGATCAGAGAGGGGAGGGAGGAATCCCTGCAGGGAGCCGTGACTGACGGTCACGGCTCTTTGCAGGGAGATGATCGAGAAGTGAGAGAGCGACGGTATATGTTCGCTCACTTCCCGATCTATTGAGCCGACGTGTGACAGTTTCATTGTCACATGTCGGCTCGAACTATGAGGATGAGTGATTTTCACTCACCTCATAGTTCTCCTTTAAGCAAGTTCTGGGACTTTGCTTAGGTCCCTTCCTCAGGTCCCTTCCCGAAAATGGCTCTGAAACACACGAAGAAAAGAAGAGAGAAGCAATGAACTACCACCATTAATCACATAGCACTATGCTTTCTTGACACACTTGAGTAGTAAACACTGTTGTAAAGGGTTAGGATAGATGTATTGATGGATGGATGGATAGATATCAGAGCTGAGGACTGTTAAGCCCTGATTCCCGACTCTAGACCAAGGGTAGGCAACCTTGGCACTCCCAACTGTTGTGGAACTACAAATCCCATGAGGAAATGCAGGACTGGCAGCCACAAGCATCACTCCCAGAGGCAGAGGCATCAGCTGGAGTCCCGAGCTTGCCTACCCCTGCTCTAGACTTGATAGGACTTGCTTTGTTTTATTTTGTCTGCTCATGCTGACTTTTGTCTTTCTGTCTCTCTTCCCCATTCACAGATGCGGCTGGAAATTTCCTCTGCCCGGCCAGCAGCTTGTCATTCAACGCTTTTAAGACCGTCTTTGATATAGACACAATGGGCACATTTAATGCCAGCAAGATTGTGTTTGAGCGCTACTTCAGAGTAAGTACAGCATACGCTACAGGACTGCTCCGTACACCGCGCTAGTGCACGCTTGGCAGACGCGGGCATGAGCAAAGCCAAAGCTGGACTTTTTAAGTACTTTTGCATATGTATTCACCACCTTTGGTCTTTACGCCGTTTATAGTGTTATAAAGATCTATTGTAGAGATTCATAGTGCAACAAGCAATGACATCAACTTATGTTGGCTGCATGATAACACTCTAAGGCCCTGTTCACACCAGGACCTTTTCGTTGCGTGGATTTTTCCGCGCTGAAATGCCAACATTTAAAAACCCATTTATTCCTAGGGGGTCCAATCATGCAAGCGCACGCAGTCGTTCACCTGAACTGCTCCCTGCGCTACTTTTTCAGCGCTGATCAGTGCGTTTTCCATATAGACTTCAATGGAAGCGTGTTTTTGGGCCTTTTTAATCGCGTTTCAGCGCTGAAACACGCAAAAATGCCCTTCCAAAAATCGTGCGGGAAAACGTGCTGAAACGCTGTTGCCCTGGTGTGAATGGGGCCTTAGTCTTGGTTTTAGAATGCAGGTCAGTGTGCTGTGTGAAGTATCGTATTTTAACTTTTTTTTTAAAACTTTATTTAGTGTACAAAGTGTACATTACAATCACAGGTTTTTATTGTGATCTGTGTTTGAAGTTTGTATTGGCGAAAACTGCAGATAAGGAAACTGGAATGATGGAAGTCTGACAGCATTTTAAAACCGGGTATCTGGATACAGTTAATAAAGCATACGAATCATCTATATATTTTTTTCATTTTCTTGAGTTAAAAGTTGGATATTAGGTGACCAATTTTTGCCCTGGAGCATTAAGTGTTCACAACTAAGTGACTGAAACTCACATTTTCTTTGTATTCAGTGACTGCATTCACAGTTGTACACCTGCTGTATGGCCACTAGAGGTCACTAAAAAGCCATGCCATTCTCCATATCGGTGTATGATAGACTCTCGCCATAGTGGTGTTAGTACTTTGCCATTTTATTGATCACTCACTTCTTTTATGTTTTTGATAGGATCATGGCGGAGTCATTATAAATATCACAGCAACGCTGAGTTACAAGGGACAGGTCCTTCAAGTGCATGCCGGCAGTGCCAAGGCTGCCATAGGTAAGGGTTTACATACCTCATTCTGGGGCTGTATATAGGTAACCTTAAAGGGTAATTTCACTTTCCCAGGTGAATCTGGGAAAATGGAATAACCCCCGCCAATCTGCCCCTGCTGCTCTTGCTAAGAAGCACTTCTCATTGGTCAGTGTGGTCAGGAGTGCTTCTCATTGGTCATCGCAGTCAGGTAACAAGGCTGACCAATAAGTGTTCGCCATTTGTGAGCACAATTTACATACATATCACAGGGCTGCAATCCCGTGCAGAGTACAGTGCAGAGTACGGATAGTGCAGCGGGGGGGAGGAGCGATTGTGGACAGGTAGGAACAGTGTGGGGGGGGGATGGGGAGAGGGATAATATAAGATCTTTTTTATCATGGGGCAGTGCAATCAAAAATCCTCCTTCTAGCGGCTTGCCAAGACCAAAAGACTTATGGTGGCCCAACATGGACCAGGTTTATTGAAAGTCTCAATTTTATCTTTATTCTTCATCTCTTTTCATCAGACGCCATGACAAAGCACCTGGCGGTAGAGTGGGGTCCAAGTAAAGTGCGGGTGAACAGCTTGGCACCGGGCCCCATCGTTGGCACAGAGGGAATGCGCAGATTGGGTAAGTCTGCAGTGTTTGATGCTCTCACTTTATTTTAAAGTGTCCGTGTGTGTGTGTCTGTCTGTCTGTGTTTTGCATCCATACCGGTTTTTCGGTATGGAGTACCAACATTTATTTTTTTCTCAGTACTTGCTGTTACCGAATACTGATACCGGAAGTCCCATTAAGGAAGCCGGGCGACGTGCAATGACTCGCCACTTGGCTTCCTGATTGGCCGGGATGCCTTCTCCATGCTCCCTCATCACCAGGTGATGAGGAAGAATGGAGTCAGATTTCTGGCCAACCGGGAAGCCGGGCGGTGGGTCATTTCTGATTGGCCGAGAAGCCGGCTCCATGCTACCTCGTCACCAGGTGATGAGGAAGCATGCCAGAGATGTGTTACAGTTTAATACTTTGATCAGTTTCCATGGTCTGTGCACTTGGTTTACCCATTGATGTGTTTGCCACTTCTTCTTCAAGTTAATTCTTGTATTTTATTGTAGGTGGAGCAGCTGCAGAAGCAGCCGGTGTATGGAATAATATTCCTCTGCAACGACCGGGCAACAAAACAGAGATCGCCCATGGAGCCCTCTTCTTGGCCAGCCCTTTAGCAGCCTATGTGACTGGAACAACCCTAGTGATGGATGGGGGATCCTGGATGACCTCTCCCAATTACTTACAAGCATCGCTGGGTACCACTCCTTCTCCTCACCTTTAGGTGATGTTGCTGATAGCATGCAGATAGAGAGGCAAATGAGCAGGACAGGAGTCCCATTACTAACATACTGGGAGCTCTCTGGATGTGTAGAAGCAAAGGACGCATGAGTAAAGTCTGCCTTGCTCATCTCTTAATGATACTGTAGGCTTTAGGTAGATAGTATCCCTATCCCGTGATAATAGAACAGTATCCCTATCCCATCATAATAGAACAGTATCCCTATCCCGTGATAATATGAGCATCACCTCCAACTGTTTGGCAAGAATTGTGCCGTGTAGAGCTGAGGTAGGCAACTCTGGAGAGCTAGATATCTTCCTGAACAACAGGAAATAAATCAAAGATCACCCAGATACAGCACTTTTTTTTATTTTTTTAGGTGATAACTTTGCAAGGCTCCATTAAAAAGTAAGTAGGTGTGAAGAGTTCAGTAATAAGTAACAAAGAGTGCAGGGTTCAGGAGTATATAAGGAAGAGTGCAGGGTTCAGGAGTACGTACAGAAGGGTGCGGGGTTCAGGAGTATGTAAGGAAGGGTGCATGTTTTAGGAGTATGTAAAGAAGGGTGCATGTTTTAGGAGTATGTACAGAAGGGTGCGGGGTTCAGAAGTATGTACAGAAGGGTGCGGGGTTCAGAAGTATGTAGGGATAGTAAGATAGTGAGTAAAAAACAATGTTTTTTACTCACTTTCAACGCTAGACCACCATTTTACTCACTGCCACAGGCGGTGATTTCAGCAAATAATGTGGAATTGTTCAAGAAACTTTTGGACGATTTCTTAAGGGACCGTAATATACAGGGGTACAGGTACTCCTAGAATGAGATCCTAATAGGTTGGACTTGATGGACTAATGTCTTTATTCAACCTCAAATACTATGTAACTATGTACATATGGTTGCCTATACTTCTATCACTTCAGCCCCCCCTTCTATATACTTGTTCATAGGACTGTACGTTCATTGTGCATTCTACAGCGGTGTACAGCTGCTTCTCAGCAGTTCCAGGGAAGGATTCTGGACGCTGCAGTATTTAATAATGAGTGTGCGTTGTGATAATGAAGTGTGTGGGTGGAGGGCGGCTTTATCATAGCTCCCTGTTCGAACACTATTAACCTATTTATATCATTCCTGCACTTTTTTATAGTAACAAAGCAGAAGTTGTACTAATTAGCATACCCTCCGCTTTGTTACTGTGAAATCCACATTATTGATTTATAGGGTCTTGCCTCTAGATAGGCAGAGCCAGCTGTCACTCACGCAGCTGGGCGGATCTCGACATCGATGTCGGGATCCGCTCTGGCTGCGTCGTCTCAGTATACCGAGAGCTGTAGCTCGCGGTATACTGAGCTTAGGGTAATGGGAGGACGCTAGTTTGTGTCCTCCCATTACCCTAAGGAGAACTATGGGGAAAAGCCCTGACCCCATAGTTCTCCTTTAAAGCCCAATTGGACTTTCAGTTGTGTTCAAAGCGTGTGAACAGGGCCTCCATGTCCCTCTTAGAGGGGAGATGATCTAGCAGCTGTCTCACATCACCTGTAGAGCTGCCAGGGATCGAGTCCTCATCAGAGCTGACATCCCGGTCCCGCCAGGCGGGCGACATATCTGCCGGCTGGGAAGAGGGTGAGTCCAGGGTGGCCGGGGAGTCCCCACGAGGCGCCGCCATGCGGCCTGCCAACTCGGCCGATCGCGTCGTCACCGGAGCCGCAAAAAAGTTGTTTATGGCGGCTCTCGGGTTCCGCAAGTGTTCCGGCTTTGACCCCTGGGACTTCTTATTGCGTTTAGAGCCCATATTGGTAGGAGATGAGGCAGTCAGAGGCACTTTCGCTGCAATGCCCGGTTCTTCTTTAGCGGAGCTAAGGACACACACGTCCAGCCGCCGCCATTGATAAGCTCGCCCCCTTGGACTTTCAGTTTAATTGAATAAAATACATTCCAGGTACATTTTCTTTAGAAAGCAGCCTCCAGCAGAATATACAAGGTACGATTTTTGTAGGACGGTTCTTTATGAACAGGCCAAAATTCGCAGAGTGGGTGCCGCTGTTGGCACCCTTCCATCTGACATCCCTAGATCAGCTGATTGAAGGTACCAGTTGCTAGCTCCGTTCGGTCCGGCCCCTGTCAGAATACAATGCATGCAGCGGGGGTTTTGTCAATCAATGCTCGTAAGCGTTGATGGAGCAATCTGTTATATTTGCCTTATTCAGCCCGCAGGTGGAACGAAGAAAATACATCAGTGTATAACCTACTTAAAGTGACATTAAAGTCACATTTCCCCCTCCCCCGCCTCAATGCTGCTTTAAGGACTTCCCTTAAATGATTTCTCTTGATCCGATCATCTTCTTTCCAGTAGTTTTAGCCCCCAAACAGGGCTTTAGTCATAGCAGTCAGGCGGGACCGAGGATCAGGTGAGTATATCTGCGTTAATCAAGCCCCCTTGACCAAAATGAGTACTTAAAAAAGAACTATGGGGTAAGTGTTTTTCCCCGTAGTTCTCTTAAGGGTCACAGGAGGACATAAACTAGCGTCCTCCCGTCACCCAAAGCTCAGTATATCGAGATCTGTTAAGATCCACCTAGATGCGTGAGTGACAGCTGGCTCTGCCTATCTAGAGGCAGAGCCAGCTGTACCCGTCCGTTCCACCAGTCAGCGCTGGAGGATCAGGGGGGGGGGGGAATCCCGGCAGGGAGCCGTGACTGACAGTCACTGCTCTCCGCAGGGAGATGATCGAGAAGTGAGCGAGCGACAGTATGCATTCGCTCACTTCTCGATCTATAGAACCGTCGTTTGACAGTTTCATTGTCGCAAGTCGGCTCGAACTATGATGAGGAGTGATATTTTAACTCGCCTCATAGTTCTCTTTAACCCGTGCAGTGCTAAGGGTAGCCCGACTGGAAGGATACGTTTTTTTAATTCCTGGAGTTCTTCTTTAAGACCCGAAGTCCACAGCAGCATTCAAAATGTTCTTCTACACAGGGACAAAGAAAAGGAGATTTTATTGTCCTCTGCAGACAACTAATCCGCTGCCTCCTGCAGACATTCCAGCCATTGGAGCCAGTAGCACTGCGAGGAGATAAACAGAGGACATTTCTATGATCATTTTTCTTTCTGAGTAGCTGAGAGTCATTTCCAATTTTATTGCACAATTCCAGCCATGCAAATCCCGCTTTTATTTAGGATTTTTAATGCTGCATTTAATTCCTAAGTGGGGATGTTCGCATAATGATGATTAAGTAGTAATAACCAAGCACTCTGTGTTATTCTTTTTATCTCCTTACGTCTTCAAGTTTGTGTGTGATTTATAGTTTTTAATGTTTATTTTGAGTTTTAAAAAAGTCTTTATTTTACATTTTAAAACGGCATAGTTCTACTGTCCACAAGTTCGAAACCAGTTGTTCTCAACCCGTGTAACCTCAGGAATCACATTTATCCCTGGTCATTAAGTCGCACCGCAATGGAATGCACAGAATTAGGGTACCGCGCGTTCCAGTGCGGGGGCACGAGCTGTGTGTGGAGGTGTATTTGGGGTACCATTCAGATAAATGGCAACCCAACACACCTCCCACACCAGAATGCGTGATAGGTGCGATTGCATGGTACAGTGCGTTAATGTAATAGTGTGAACAGGCCCTCAAAAACACTGACATACGCACACAACCACAGACACAATCTCACGCACTCACAGACAATCTCACACACACATACACACTCCAAAAAATATTTAATAAAAAAAAAAACATTGTTTAAGTCTCCCTACCTTATGAGAACTGGAGTGGATCCTCAGCCTGGGGTCCAGTGTGGGCTACTGAACTGTGACTGAGCTCCATTTATATTTGCATGGCTTGTACAGCTCCCTCCAGGCACCTCTACAGGACACATGAGGGAGCTGTAAGCAATGCACGTATGTATGGAGCTCCCTCGCGGCCTCATTCATCCCTCATTAGCCTCATTCATCCCACCTCAAGCTGACACTCGGCGCCGGGCAGCATATTTTGAATGGCTGCTTGACGCGAGAACTGACGGTGCTGCGCTAGGGGGAGGCTGAGGAGTCTCTCACCTAGAAAAGTGGAAGGCATGCGGTGATCCAGTGAACACGGGGTCACGACCCACCTGTTAAGAACCAAGGTTCTAGAGTGTACACTATATGCCCAAAAGTAGTCCCAGGGGTAGCCACCACATTCTATTTGTAGGGTAAAGTCCAGGGTGCCAAAGTAGGTCTAGAGGGACTCATGGGTCTTGCAACGGAATATAAGTCAAAGCGTCAGCTTTTTATTGTTAACATTTCGACAGAGCTCGGTCCTTCTTGATAAAGATGGACTGAGCTCCATCTAAACCTTCACAGTTTGTGATGCTCTGACTTCTCGTAACTGCAACCTACTTTGGATTTATATTGTCAAAAGTATGTAGCCACCCCTCCAAACCATTGGGTTGAGGTGTTTCCAGAGAAGGGTAATGTTAATGCTACAGCATACAAAGATATTTTATACAATGGTACCCTTCAAACCTTGTGACAAAAGTTTGGAGAAGGACCTTTTCTTTCCCAGCATGACTGTTCCCCCCCTGTGCCCAAAGCCAGCTACATAAACCCATTTGGGGGAATTTATAAAAACTGGAGCAGACAAAATCTGGAGCAGATTTGCACTGCAGCCAATCAGCTTCTCTCTCTCTCATTTTCAAATCTTACCTGAGCAAACTGAAGAGAGATGCTGATTGGTTACCATGGGCAACTGCTCCAGATTCTGTTTGCTCCAGTTTGGATGAATTTCACCCATAGTTTGGTGTGGAGGAACCTGAGTTGCCTACACAGAGCCTTGACCTCAACCCTACTGAAAACTTTGGGATGAATTGGAACACTTATTGTGAGCCAGGTCTTCTCATCCAACATTAGTACCTGATATCACAAATACTCTTGGCTGAATTGGCAGACATTCCCACAACCACACTCCAAAATCTTGTGGAAGGCCTTTTCTAGGAGGATGGAGACTGTTATAGCTGAAAATTGGGGGTCAACTCCATATTATTTTCTGTGGTTTGGGAATGGGATGTCCAACAAGATTATATTGGTGTGATAGTCAGCAGTCCACAAATCTTTGCCTATATGCTTTGGGATGAATTGGAACACTTATTGTGCACCAGGTCTTCTCATCCAACATCAGTACCGGACATCACAAATGCTCTTTTAACTGGATGGGCACAAATTCCTACAGCCACACTACAAAATCCTGTGGGAAGTCTTTCCAGAAGAATGGAGGCTGTTGGAGCAGAAAACTGGGGGACAACTCTATATTACTGCCCATGGTTTGGGAATGGGATGTCACACTTTTATATAGATGTATTGGTCAGTTGTCCACAAACACTTGACCATAGAGATGAATTGGAATGCTTGAGAGCCACATCTTCTCATCCAACATCAGTACTTGACCTCACAAATGCTCTTTTGGCTGAATGGGTACAATATCCTATAGGCACACTCTAAATACATGTGGGAAGTCTTCCCAGAGAATGGAGGCTGTTATAGCTGCACAAGGGGGAAGAGGGCAGCTCCATTAATGTCCATGGTTGTGGAATGGGATTTCCAACAGCTTGTATAGGTGTGATGGTCATGTGTCTTCAAACCTTTGGCCATATAGTGGATATCGAAGCCCAACTTAAGACTCATTTTTTGTTTTGGAGAGTGAGAAAGCAATGAAACATCTGTCCAGTTTTTATTGCTGTCTGTGCCATGCTGAGGAAATTTCCCTTTATTAATTATCTTGGTAGTAACCTTACAGGTTCTGACCCTACATGTCCCATCAAAAGCTAGAAGAAAGACTTTTGGCTTGGGTTGAGCATGAATGTAAAGCTGTCAAGATAGAATTATAGGCGCTGGTATTGGCCTGCAACAATCACCCCAGTGAAGTCTGTAAAAATGTGAACTCCCATCCTGCATGCTTGTTCTCGGTTGGTGGGATTCTTTCAATGGCTTCCATTCTCTTCTTGATATATCTTCGTTGTTCTCTTTCACAGATGTGTGGGCCTCTCAAACGAAGACGGGTAAATGAAGCGGCTGCAGAGATTGGACAGTTAGCGCCTGATCAACACTAATTTTTCCATTTGACACATTCCACCTCGATCCCTCGCCTAGTGTAGAGTGTTTTTTATTGGGGAACATGCAGGCCATGTGTTGCATAGTTGTTAAATTGGGGGGAATAGGATAGGAACAAAAAATTTAGAGGATATTACGGCAGCGCCCTTTGTGTGCCACCCGCGGTGGAAAATTGTGTGCTGCCCCTACCTGGCAGGAAAAAGGGTGTTGGACGATGTGCAAATGAGATGACTGTGCTGAAGAAAGTTGGACACTTATCAGGTGTGGTATTGTGCTGTAAAATTTGGCTACTAATGGTGTACACAGGGTAATGGATATGAAAACTAGCACAAGAGAGATGAGTGTTGTCCAAGGCGCTTGTCTTAATTTTCCAACCTGCTCCATAACAAGAGCTACTGTCTCAGTGATGGTAACACCATTATGTTCCTGAGCCTCAATTTCTATTGATAACACAAATGCAGACTTATTCAAGCAAATAATGATGATAAACATAGATCCATTTAGGATTTCCAATGGGCTGCTATGTCTAAAGAAAGGACAGCATAAAATAAGAGCAGAAATAGATCAAGAATCCTAAAAGGTTACTGTCCTCTTGCAAATAAAAGAACCCTGATGCACTCCAGCTCCCAGCTTGTGACTTTTTCTTTTGGCATGAGTCACGTGGCCTGATAATGTGAAGCATTGTGAGACGGTGCACCCAGTCTGGCATTTCCTCATAGTGAACCTGGGCTATCCTGCTGATATCGGTTCCCTGCAATGTACCAGCATCCTAACCCAAGGGACCTATAGTCGGGAATCAACAGGATATGGAGTGCTTTAGGAATCTGCCAATACAAGAGAGCAGTAAAGGTTTAGGATACTGAAGTGTGTGTTGTGTCCCCGATTAAGATTCAGTTCCTGAAGTGTGTGTTGTGTCCCTGATTAAGATTCAGTTCCTGAAGTGTGTGTTGTGTGCCTGATGAAGATTCAGATGGCCATTAAGTAAAGATGATGGTTAGACTATAGATGACGGTTATTTGATGTGTCCAGGCGATGGTTTAGGGCCCATTTACCCCTCGGTGCTGTGGTAAGACACCTTAGGTGAGTTTGTGCACTGCGGTGCCATTTATTTAATGGCACTTGGGGCATTTTCTCGAGGTTGCAGCACACCACAATGCACGGTAACACTCTACTGTGAGTTGCAGTGTGCTTCTCTAACAAAGATCCAGCAGATCCACTTTTTGGTCCGTCATGGTACTTTGGGCAGCCCATTCATACGGACTTCACTGGACCGTCCTGGTATGAATGGGTCATTAAGGTCTACGGGGAAGCATCAAACAGCCCCAACAATCAGAAGGTATGAAACAGGTTTGCAAGCAATGTCCCATTGCTGCTTCTTCCCCAAAATACGCCAGCACCAACACCTCTTGTCGCTCCTACGTTGCTCTAGACAGGAACGGTAGTTCATCTAGACATCTCATCAGATATGTGAACTCCTGCATGTCTAAGCATTCTTTTTTTTTATTGTGACAATTTTGTTTTCAATATAATAGGAACGTCTGTACCTTTCACTGAGTTTGGTACATGGCACTCTGCATTTTAGTGTGGGGGAGGGGGATATATTGTATAGAATATGGACAATTATTACCAATAAAATATATTTTCCATTGATGATTATTGTATGTGTGTCATTTCTTGCGTAATGTGTGCTAGTAATAGGGGACGGAAAATGATGATTATAAATGCCGCTACCACAACATTTTGACCAAAAGGCTTTTTTGTGCATTTATATGTTTATAGGTCTTAAGAAAACTTTATCAGGTGCAACGTAAGAGAGAAAAGAAGAAACAATAACAATGTATAAACCTGGGGAAAATGTCCTATTTTGTTGGTAGTGGGGACAGAAAAGCGGGTCCTAGTCCTTTAACTCAAAGGACGGGGCAGGTAGGTGAGAAAGAAAAAGAAAGAGGGGAAAGAAAAAAAAAGAAGGGGTGAGGGGACAGTGGGAGGTTTAGGCAAAGGAGAGCAGTGTCAGGGCAGTAGGGTAAGGGTACGGAGGAAAACAAAAAAGATAGAAAGAGGAGGGGGTGAAAAAAGGAGGAAGAGTAGGGAAGGTGTCCTCAGAGGGGAAGGGAAGGGACAGGTCACATGGTCAGATCAAAATTGTTAGCAAAGTAAAACGTTGGTGCACGTGATAGCCAGCCCTGTGAATTAAAGTTACATGGTCAGTGAGTCTGAGTGAATGCAGACAGGTATATCAGTTTCAATTCATGGAGTCCAGACCTTATGGATTTTGGTCATAAGGGCAGAGTTATAAATCCTCCTCCCAGCTGGGAGAATGCCGTTCGCACAGTGCTACTACCACTAGATAAAGCCAACGAGCATAGAAAATTCCTATACTCCTCAGCACCATCTAGTGGCAGTTGTGTTGTACAAATGGCATTCGCCCCTCTTTACACTGGGCAGAAGATTTATTATAAATCTGCCCCAAAGTGTCATTTGGAAAGGCCGTAAGCTTTTCATAAAACATCACCTGAGGCTTTTACTCTTTCAAAGGGAATTGAGGGGATTGAGAGTTACATACCTGGGCCAATACCCGTAAGAATATGAAGTTGAAGTTTTAGCTGGGTATGTGTACAGACAGTAGGTTGTTTGTTAAGTTCGGAAAGGACGCCCCATCCACACTGTGCAGAAGCTGGTACACTCGGATCCAGAATTGCTTGGCCTTCAGGCACTCCGCACACCACACATGCAAACAAGAGCCTTTCGCAGAGCAACCTTGGAAGCAATAAGAGAGATAGAAGAAGATAGGGTTCGTGCAACCTGCTCACTATTTTATCTCATGAAAATTTTGCCCTTAAACATCTAAGTCACAAAAATAAATATTACCGTATATGAGCATTTTCTCAAATTGTAATTATATCATGGCCATACTGCTGCTTTAAAACAAAAAGTACATAGGCACACCTTAATAAAACACAGAGGTGCGCTTTACAAATGTGCCCTTCCCTTCACTTTCTGCGTTCACTTTTATGAATAGGGGCAAAAAAAACCTGTCAAAATCATATGAATGGTCTCTCTACCTATCACGGAATGCCTTTTGCTGCATTATGCAGAGAATACCTCTACAGGGCATCTATCTCATGCTTCATTCTATAGCCTGCATTTTATGAATGTGTCATGGAGTGTATAAGGCCTTGTTCACACCAAATGCGGAGCAGATCTGCATGCGTTTCTGCACACGCAGTGCAGTGGGTTGTGTTGCGTTTGCATGCGTTCCAGAGCATGTAAAATAGGGCTTGTTGCACTTTTTTTTACCTGCTCTGGAACGGAAAGCTGCGATGTGAACTGGAGCTAAAAAATACCATTACAATACATTGAATGCAGTTTTCTCCGGTCTGTAACTGCTCTGCTCTGCTCCTGGAACGCGCTTGGTGCAAACTATTGGCGCTATATAAATCCTGTATAATAATAATGCATTCATTTTATGAATGTGTCATGGAGTGTAATGCATGCATTTTGTGAATGTGTCATGGAGTGTAATGCATGCATTTTATGAATGTGTCATGGAGTTTGTAATGGATGCATTTTATGAATGTGTCATGGAGTTTGTAATGGATGCATTTTATGAATGTGTCATGGAGTGTGTAATGGATGCATTTTATGAATGTGTCATGGAGTGTAATGGATGCATTTTATGAATGTGTCATGGAGTGTGTAATGGATGCATTTTATGAATGTGTCATGGAGTGTTGAGTTAACAATGCGGTGCCCCTTAGCAGATAGAAGAATCCACTCTCTGCTATAATTGTCTTACCTAATAGTTCATTAGCCCCATAACCAGAACGCACAAACTCCATCTCTAGTTAGTAAGTATGACTTACCTATGTACATATAAATGGAAACCAGGTTTTAAATGTGTCCACTGATAAGATTATTTACATTAAACTGATAAAGAATTGACATCGATATATTACCTTTGAAGGGTTAAACTCAGAATGAACTCTTTCCTCTCTAGCCTGTGTATATATACAGACAGATGAAGTCATAAGATAGCACAGAGGAGTAACAATGGCAGGTAGGTGAAGAGGAGATAAGACCAGCAGCCGATAATATTTATCAGCCAAGCCCATGATATAATGTTTCCTGAGCGATGTGACTGCTGGGACTCGGGGACATCCACACTGCGAGCTCTTTATAGACATTCTGCAGCTGTTGGAAAATACAGCAACCGGGTGTACGATGCGCCGCCTTTCACCTGGGAACATTCACACAGGAAATCTGTAAGCCCTGATTCACACCTAGGCGACAGCATGCGGTTATTTGCGCTTATATGCGCGTTGTGCACATTTGTATGCGTGTTTTAACGCACGTACATGAAGACGCATGTTTTGATTGGCAGCTCATAAATCATTGTGAAGAACGCGCGTATAAAATGGGCAAAATTGCTCACGAAAATGTTGAGCGTTTTTGGGGCATTTCCAATAAAGTCTAGAGGGAGGAAAAGCGCTTTTAACTGCCCAAAGGAGCTCCTGTATCTTTTCAGGCATCTGGCGTTTTTCTGCTCACGTGCGAACCAGGGCCATTGAAAATCATGGGATTTCTTGTGCTGGGCAATAGTAATGTATAGGCTGCTGTTATTGACCTCCTTGTGAGAATGTTAGCTGCCTGCCTGTCATGTTCATCCAATTGCTCCAATACCATGACCTTCTGTCCACGGCCATCCTTCTCCCTAGTCCTCTGACGACATAGGCTGGCCGGTCCAGAACAGAGCAAAGCAACAGGTTCACTTACAGCCCAACGGAACCTTCCTATATTATTACTGTAATGAAGGTCCAGGCTAAATATGGGCTCTCCCATTTGTTGACACTACTGTTTCTTGCAGCATAAAATGCCCTGTGCTGGCAGCACACTAGAGAGTCGGAGCGCACGAACACAATGCACAGCGGTGCGGGTCTCCAGAGGTCGGAGAGGCCCCTTGCCTGGTGATCTCTGTTCAGCAGCCAGGAGCAAAGAGAGACTTCCATATGTAACAGTGCCCATATGTGACAGCGCTGGGTACCTGAGTGACCAATCACAATGCATCCATTTTGTAATGATGCAATACATCACATGCTCTGCGTACGTAGAAGTACCCAGGAGCC